CGAGATCCTGGCAGTCTTTTTTGTTCTGGCCATCATGCTCTGCATAGACACAGATACAGTCGGACTTTGTATAAAGGGCAAAGATGGGTCCAGAAAAGGGCAGGCAACACTCCTAGTCCTAGATTCAGCCGTCCCCGGTGACCGGCTGATCACTAACCTAGGTCGTGTCGTGTGCTTCCGTGGTGTCATTTCAAAAAAGAATAAAGTAAAGAGAAAATTAAGAGTAAGAGAACCGACGGTTACCTGAACGAGTGACGATTGATGAAGTTCTGAAAATCCTTTGCAGTCGGCTTGTCAGAGCAGGTGGTAGGCAGAAAGGGTCCAAAATGTCAGAGCAAGTTCAGGGGTCCGAATGTTCTCTCACAAAGTTTTCAAGTGTGAAAATGACCGAAGTCAACACTCCTTTATATAGGCGAAGTGAGAAGGCGAAGGGTCACTTCCAGAATTCAAAATTTTGGCGGGAGAATCTCTCGGCCTCTCGCCGAGTGACACCTGTAGCAGGCCGTCGCCTGTTACAGGGCGACACCTGTCACAGGTAACACGTGACTAGTCACGTGCCACCTGTGAGGGGCAAATGATTAGGGGATTTTGCTCCCACCAATCGGAATGCGCCACGTGGGCCAATCAGGTCCTCCCAAGTGTTCCCCAGTTGGACCTCTCAGGGATTGCCACGTGGCACACGCTTATTCGTCCGCCTTGGACCTATTATGTCATGACACGTGGCATACTCCATGCCTAATGGAGAAGTCGGCCACCTAGGCCCAACTTCCGAGGGAAGCCCAATCAGCCCAAGGTTAACCTAAACCTAGATTGGCACGTTTCCCGAGGTTATAAATACCTCCCTTAATCCTCATTAAGGGAGATTACGCAGATTACACACATTAAACACTCTCACCTAGAGAGACACAATCACTTTAATTTCCGCATTAATTACTCCTTAATCAAGTACTAACTTGACCGTCGGAGGCGGATCTCCAATCATCCGGAGCATCCGTTTGTTTTGCAGGTACAGGCGTCCGGTTCCAGTCTCGGAATTGTAACTCTCCCGCAGGACATCAGAAAACCCCGAAACACATATCACCTTAAAACTAGTTACGTCGTAAATTCGATCAACAAACGTCTTATTTAGCATTAATTCGGCTTGAAATCCATTGATGCAGAGTTGTTTGAGTGATAATACTCGCAAGGTGCTCTAGATTCCGAAGATTATGAAACCCTAAATCTTCAATCCTCGCTGGACGAATCAATAAAGAAATTAAACCTAATATATGAGATCAATTTTATTGAAAGCAATTAAAAAGTTTTTGGGCTTACCACCGGTAAAAATACTAGCGGAAGATTCAACCAAGATTCACAATTGAGATCAGGAAAAAAAAAAAAAAAAGAGAGAGATATGAAAGAGAAGGAGAGAAAAAGGGAAAAGAGTGAAGGAAAACCTATATATATACATATATATATATATACTAGCATAGTGCCCGTGCGATGCACGAATTATAAATCAAATTATTAAACCCGTAGGGAAAATAAAAATAAAAACAAAGGTAATTCATTTACTATTAAAGGACTTGTACTAATGGTCAATAAAAAAAATTAAAGGAACGTTATTTGAATAGTATTTTATGTTATTTGAATTTCTTTTAATTTTTTATAATGTTATTTTATTAATTGAAAAATAATTGAATAATACTCCACATAGCTATATAAGAAGTGGACTAATTTATTTATATCTCCCGTTGAGAAAAAACTAAAATTTTCTTATCATACCATCCGCATCAGTAGCTACAATCAATCTAATATATACATGTATATATAGTTAAATTGTTATAAAGTTATTAAACAATTTAACTATATAGTTAAATTTTTTATAAAGTTATTAAACAATTTAACTATATATACATTTTGATAGGTTTATATCTTTCATATTAATTTTTGAAGGAAAACCTATCAAAATGTATATATAGTTAAATTGTTTAATAACTTATATCGAATGCGTAGTTTTTTTAAAATTATTTGCATGTAATCATTAAATGTGTTGGATGTTGTGTAGCTATGCAATGTCCAAAACTTTAGTTGAGCGACTTTGATTTAGTTATTGTACAGTAAAAAGATATTGACTTCGATTTTGAAACCTAATAGTCTAATAAATTCTAAATAGAAAAATTAAAACAAAAGGAAATGAAAATAGTAAATGGCTTTAAATATTGAAATAAACATAACCTTTTAAATCAATTTAGCAAATTCAAGAGACAATTTTAAGGCATTAAAAATTAAATGGGGGAAAATATATGTAAAAAGAACATTTTTAGATATATAAATGTCCATGCACTATTATAAGAGTTTTGTTAACCTTTTTATAATTAAGGTAGGGATAAATCTTAGTAGTATATACTCCGTATATTTTATTTATATAAAATTATCAGTATCCACACCTATATACGAAGTATTTGTGTTGTATACTATATTTAATCAGTTGTTGGTTATATATGTGACTATTATATAATATATAGTTTTTGGCACAATGGTTAACTTAGGAAAATATATGTTCTGGTAGGTCAAATAATATAAGGTTATTATTGTGTCTATAGATTTAATGAGTGCGACGGGTAAATAAAACATGTATATATTAGATTTATTGTAGCTACTGATGCGGATGATATGATAAGAAAATTTTAGTTTTTTCTCAACGGGAGATATAAATAAATTAGTCCACTTCTTATATAGCTATGTGGAGTATTATTAAATTATTTTTCAATTAATAAAATAACATTATAAAAAATTAAAAGAAATTCAAATAACATAAAATTCTATTCAAATAACGTTCCTTAATTTTTTTTTATTGACATTAGTACAAGTCCTTTAATAGTAAATGAATTACCTTTGTTTTTATTTTTATTTTTCCTACGGGTTTAATAATTTGATTTATAATACGTGCATCGCACATGCACTATGCTAGTTAGTTATTATTCTTTAACTTAACTATAAATAAAGATTAGAAAGATTTTATGGTTTATTTGTAGTATTGGAAAGTATATATTTATTATAAAAAATTAAATCAATATTTATGTTAGGAAATTATGAAAATCTTATGCATGTATAGAAACTTGCTTTTATTGTTTGAAGTTTAACAAAAATAACTATGCTTAAATATGTAAACAGTAATTATATAAATATATTTTATACATAAGATAAGCCAATGAGAGAGTGACATTTGTTATCATCACATTGAAGCGCTTGTCTTTTAGTATAATATATTTATATAAATATATTTTATACATAAGATAAGCCAATGAGAGAGTGACATTTGTCATCATCACATTGAGGCGCTTGTCTTTTAGTATAATATATTGATTGATTGATATATATATATATATATATATATATATATATATATATATGTAAACTGAAAAAAAAAAAATCTAGCGACGGAGGCTAGAAAAACCATCTCAAAGGAAAAAACCCTAGAGGGAACTAGAAACCCTCTCAAAGAGAAAGGGAACAAAGTTTGGCATCACATCTATTTGTTTTTTAAAAAATGTACTTCCTTTGTTTTTTATTAAATGCATCCCTTTTTACAAATGGAAGTTTATTTTAGATGCATTATTTTTCATTTTGCTTTTTTTTTTTTTTTTTTTTTTGAACGGGAAGAATAATATCATTAAATAAAAGCCATACGACATCTACAATAATAAGGATTTGTAAACCATAGATTTAGAGAAAATATCATAACTTTTATAATCAAAATCATAACTAATTTGCATATTTGGCATAGCTCATACTCCACCGCTTCAAGCTTAACGCGAGCAATGATTTTCGATGTCTTTGCATCTTTCCAAGTTGAGACCTCCGCAATCTGCGCTGATGTTTTGATCGACCAGTTGATGACAAATCCCAGACCCATAGGAATCCAAATCACCTTCCCAATTATTATAAGAACCCTAAAAATAAAATTCTCATCCATAGACGAGAATCAAAATCCCAGAAAATTGGGAAAAAACCCAGAAAATTGGGACAGACTCTCTCAGATCGAGAGAACAAAACAAAACAAATAAACCAATACGTAAAACAAAACAAAAAACTAAATTGAATTAAAGAAAAAGGGTCGGAAATAGTCTAATTTTCGAAGAAATTAGACTATTTCCGGCCTAAACCGCTAGTATTTTGCTTAATGTATTCTCTCTATATCTTTTTATTACATGGGTGCTCTCTATTTTTTATATTTACCTCATTGCACTCTAAAAATTACATAAGAATCCGTAGTTACAAAAGCGATGAATTTAATAATAAAACAGAGGAAATATATACTATTATACTACATAGTATTCTAATATAAAAATTATGTATTTTGAAATTGTAAATATAATACATTGTAATATACTTATATTTTTTTTTGAAGTATAATATCAACAATGAATTTTTTATATTATTATTATCGTAATCTATAATATGTAGTGTTGTTGTATTTGGAAGGAGAGGATTAAATGAGTCTTGGGTAGGGATTATGTGGGGGTGTGGGATGAGAAAGTTTGTTATATACACCCATGTGTATTTTGTTCTTATTTTAATGATTGTTTTTTATTTAACCATCAAATGAAGATCAAAAACTAATCTTGTGTTAGCTAGGTGTACGGTATACTCGGGGGTATATAACAAATTCTAGTGATATGGAGATGTTTTTAAAATTGTTTTTGCCAGGATAAGAGATAAGGATGAATTTTCGAACTGTCGCGAGGTATAAGGATTAAGATGGAGATGGGGATTAAAATATTAGGCGGAAATGGATATTAGAATGTTAGGCGCAAAATCTTAAGCTGACCACACTAAGCCCGACCTGATTTTGGGCAGATTTGTCCCGCCCAATTTTTTTGTTTTTGGGCGGGTTTGGACCGGCTAATTTGGGTACATAATTTTCAATCCGAATCTTGATCCGCCCCCAAAAAATGGGCTAATTTATTTAGCCATGCCCCGCCGCCCCGCCCCGCCCCATGAATACATATCTACTATCTAGAAATACAACAGCAATTGCGGGAATGTACGTTTGACGTTTTGCCGGGAGAAAAAGGAAAAAGATAAAGAAAAATCAACAGTGATATTGGCGGTTCATTAGGAAAGGGTCAAAGTGTCAAACTACCCACAAAATTCAGATTCTGTTTTTATCTATCTGAACGATTTCCGACAAAACAAACCAGAGCAATTCTAGGGTTTCCGACTTCCACAGAATTTCTTCCCCAATTCAACCTCCTCACTTCTAATTATTTCTGAGCAGAATTCCGCGATGAGTATAACTCAATTTGCAATGGTACTCTTTCTCTCTTCTCTTCTTTCTCTCAATCATCAGTTTTGTGCGTTTTTTCTGTTGTTTTTTATTCATTCTAATTTGAATTTGAAATCGATTGTATTGTTGATAAATTTACGAATTTAGGTATAACAATTTCACAATTAGCAATGATTAATGGTAATTTCCTGAAATTAGTGACCTTTTCTTTCTTTGATTGTTGATTAATCCTTGTTTAGTAGACCTCTTTTAATAAATCAGTTGGCAAATAATTCCCAAGTTTCATAGGCTAGAGAATAGGAAAGTAAAGATCTTTACCAATTCTAGAATAAGGGAATTTGGTGGTTTTTTTAGTTTGCAATTGCTTTTTTTTTTGCTCCCCTTTGTGTGTTCAATTGTAAGTCAGCCATTTAGTTGCTGATTGCAGCTCTATTGTTGTACCCACAATCCATTCATGCATTTTTATTAATGATGTCGGTTTGTGCTGCACTTAGGTTTTAATTGGATTTTTGTTGGTTTGAAGCATTGAACAGTAGAATTTTAAGTAGATATTCTTTTGATCTTTTTAAACCAAGGTTCTAGTTTTTGGACCATATGTTTAAGTTCTAAATTTATGGCTCTGAAGTGAAGTATATGTAAACTGCATTCGCGGTGACTAACATCTTAAGTAAATAAACTAGCGAAGTCTTTAGTAATTTCTATTTTCCTTTCGATGATGCTTGCATTTGCTTATGCTGCTTTTGCATCAATTTACTTGTGTCGTACTTACAGGTTGAGGAGCTTGGTTCCCTTATAAAAGATAACTATCTAAGCAGACATCTTGTGCTTGCAGTTGAAGAGGCCTTGGTTAATTACCTTCAGGATGATCCGAGGTTTTTATTTTAAACTTCTTTGTATTGTTTTAGATGGTTTGGACGCAATAAATGGAAGTTCATGCTACTGGCATTCAGCAGCACTTTTTTTTTTTACATTCCGATTACTGATACTTATGTCACCATTATGCCCTGCTGACCACTTTTCTCAACTTGATTCATGCACCCCTATAGGTCATGATAATACTTTCTATTATAGGGCTATAGGCACTGCTGACTGCCATTATTATATAACCTATAAATCTTTGCATTTAATATTTTGAACTTACTTAACATAATGGCCTTCTGTCTTTTTCCCTTATTTTGGCATGGAATTGCAGGCTTTGCAGCCACACCTTCAAGTGTATTATCACTTTGAAATAGTCTGTTTTCTAAGGACTCTAATCATTTTTACACTTGGTAAAAGGTGCTTGCATACTTTTTAAGTAACTAAATGATGAAGCAAGCAGAGTTTATGATTTCATTAATAGCCGTGTAGGGATTATTATTTTTTTGGCATTGGGGAGAAAAGGGATGTGGTTGTGATGTGTATAGCATGTATGGTAGTAGAGTTGTAGTTAGTATATTATCATTATCGGTAATTGGAATGTTATTTTTTACAGTCCAGGTGGGATTCTTGAGTTGGAACCCATGAGTTCATACAACCGCCTTATCATACACCGTCTTGCTGACATTTTTGGGTATGATATGAATCTTAAGATTTATTAGTAATGTATGAGTACTGTTTTTTTTTTTGTTTTTTGGTCTGGTTATTTTGCTTTTCTGATGTATTGTTTGGTTTTTCTAGATTTGTTCACGAATCTGTAGGTGAGGGAAATGATCGCCACTTGGTTCTGCAACAGTGCTTGGAGACATCAATGTATGTGATGTTCTACGTTATTTCAAATACTCATTGGTTTTTTTTTGTTTTTTTTTCCTCCTATTTTCTGGATTTCAATTATAAGCTTTTTTTTGGCATTACTTTCTCTTGTTGATGTGTGGTACGAGTAATGAGCTGGGATGCTTATCTATTTTAGAGCCTGCATACTCTACACTTGCATTGTAGATCTAAGTCTTAAATTGAAATGGTTTGTTGTTACATGTCTGCCATGTTCTGTTGTACTTAATTGTGAAGTTTAGTTGCAATGGTTCTTTTATGATCTATACTGATTTAGCTGAAAGAATCTTTGAATTCACAGACCTTCTATACTTGTTAGTGATGTTCTCTGGCAATATGGTGCATGTGACTCTCCTTCAATGCCTTACCAATTATTGAGAAGAGATGAGGAGTGCACTGGTAAATTTTTCCCTTCCACTTTTCTAGAGGTTCATTAATTGATTATTGATAATTATTTTATAACATTATTTTGATCCATAGTAGCATTTACCTATTTGTCTAAGGTTGAAGTCCATCCCTCTCATAAGAGTCATAAGTCATATCTGCAATTCTATCTGGTGGTAATTGCACTTCAGATGGTCTTCAGTTATCTTTTATTTGAATTCATGTGACATGATTTAGCTTATAACCTACGTTCCTAACAGTTGAATATGATTCATATTATTACTGCTGGTAAATGCAGGTCATTTAGTCTTAATGAGTTGAGATCCTGTTTCACTAAAGCATAGTAATGAAGATGAAATTGTGTGGCTGTTTCTTATTACATATTTTAATAAATCTTTGAAAATGGAGAAAGGTAAGATGGTTGAACATTGGTATTATTAAGACTTAGCCTGTTAGCCTTTACTTGGTTTTTGAGAGAGATAAAGCTTGTCTGACTTTACCTGATCTGGTTGTGAATTGATGAGTTGAAGGTTGAAATTTCACTTTCCTTTTTGCATGATTGTGTCATAATTAATGAAGTGGTGAGTTGATGATACAATCTCATCTTCTGCAGTAGAATTGAATAAGATTCTTTGTTGATTTCTTATTGAAATTTAGTCATTTTGGAGTAATTATATATGGACTCTGGAACTTCTATCAGATTTTGTATTAAATTCCTTTCCTGTTCATTTTAGTATTGAAGATGAATTTACCCTCTGCCCCAAATTTTGTTGAGAGAGAAGCAGCTTATCTAGCTGCACGTGAACGCATATTTGGTATGGACGAAGTTCAGGCAAAAGAAGCTGCAAGACAAAGGCCAAGAAATGTTCCTGTTGTTGCCCGTCGCATGATTGCCCATGCGCTTGGCCAAAGAATTAATCATTGCAATCAGAACCAAGGCTATGATGCTAGACATTCTAATGGGCAAGCTATGGTGGATGACCTAGAAAGAAGTATCAAATATGATTTAGATTTGCACCACAAATCCTCCCCTGACTCCAGTGTTAGCACTGACAACATTGTTGAATGTATTAGTGCAGAAGGTAATAATGCGGGTGATTGTTTCCCTGCTGCTCATGGAATCTTATTGCCGGAGGCATCAGATAGGAACTCTTCTGGCAGTGGTCATAGACCAAGTGGAAGAAATGGGTTGGTCATCTCTAAAATGAGTATGAAAGAGGAAAACATGGGAGCTGCAAAAAGAATGTTTGCTCATGCCCTGGGTATACCGGCTTCAAAAGATGGCATTTCTCGGGGAAAGTGAAAGTTAAAGTTGGTATGGATAAAGAGTTGACGGATATTTGAACATACTATCAAGAGGTATCTCTTGTGCCATTCTCAGCTTCTGTTTGATCAGGAAACTAGAAGAGCCCACAGTTGAAGCCATTACTGAGAGTTGAATGCTTGAGGTATTAAGATCTGGGGATTTTTTTTCTTTCCTTCCTGATGCATAGCAAAAGAGTTGGCCATGGATATAGTAATGGCTATTTGTTGACAGTTTAACCTTTCTTGTTCGCCTCAGGATTGATTTGTTTAGGTCAATGTGCTTTGTTTGTATCAATTGCCAGAGCTGCAAGATTGAAATGGACCTCTAGCTACTCATTCCGAAGGCAGCAATGTTTGTTATCTCACCCAGTCTTTTAAACGTATGCTCTACCCAGGTTTCATTATGATGGTTAACAGTTGGGATGAAGTGCAGGCTTTACTGGATCTCTGAGATGTTGCTAAATAATGACTGCTGTATCAAGAATTTAGGACTATTGTTATATTTATGGATGTTTTAGTTAACACTTAAAGTCTTCTAATCAGAATGATTGTTTGTGACATAATTTATTATGTACTTTATATCTTTAAGTAATATATGAAATCGTTGTTATTTATTTCTTTATCTTATCTTTTTAATAGTCAAACTGTCACAACTTTGTGAGTTTAGATACCTACTGATTGTTACTGTTTATTATGAGTTTATGACTTGGTGCTCGTCAACCAGAGTGAAGATTAATTTTTACGTTGTTCTGTATGCAGCACAAGTTGGACATTCACAGATCTTATTGCGTGCATACAAATTCTGTTCACTGAATTTATACACATGTATTCTGGTCAAATCGATCTGGGTATGATTTATATACAGAGTACATATTAAGGCTGTTTGCTAACTGATAACAAATCACTGTTACATGTAGGTCTGCCACTGATGATAAGAAGTGTGACTTCGCTACTTTTGCTACTTTTTTTTTTCTTCGCTGTGATAAATTTCCCCCAATATTTCCTATCAAAAAAAAAAATACAACTAAGTAATTTGGTTCCATTAGGAGAACATTGACGGTTGACCACTTGACTTGTATCATTCATTCAGTATTCCTTCTTTTGGAATAAAATGATATCAGATCATTCATTAGCTGAGCAGTCAAGTTGTGTATTCATCTAGTATTTTGGATGACAATTGTCTCTCATTCTTCGGTGTGGGAACGTCAAATTTGTGTAAAAAGAAACTAGTTGGTTGATTTTAGTTCAAATCTTAATGGTTGTTTTCATATGTAATCATTTTAAGCTAATCTTTTTTCTCAGACAAAATTAATGGTAGTGAACTGTTGCTCAATAATACATACCTTAACAAAATTTTGGTCTGTGTTTGGGGATATTTAGCCATGAATCAACTATTAAATTAGATTAGTGTGATTTGCATGAAAAGAGCAGTGTTAATTTAGACTCTACATGAAAAGAGCAGCAGCCTAATTGTGAATTCATCTTGCTTGGGTGATCTTCTTTCCTTGGGATTGTGTGTCAAAAATAAGTTTCGTTATAAAACATGGTAGATAATCATATTCTGAAATATTAGTATCAAATGTGAAGTATTTGTCATGCTAAATAATGTCAAAAGTTTCATGGTATCCAGATCCCTTACATCAGATGGGGCAAACTCTAACAAAAGGCAAAATCGAGAACAAGAGAAAGCCAAAGTTGGATTCAAAGGAGGAGTATTTCATAATAATTGGCGCGGTATTTTGTTGGGAAAGCATTGAGCCAAGGCCACCATGAGGGAGCTAGGCAACTGAAGATTTTTCTCGAGCAAGGATATTGAAATGGCTACAAACAACTATAACCCTGATTATTTATCTGGCACTGATGGTAATAACTATATCCTTTATAGAGCAACCATCGATGATCGTATTGTAGCAATAAAAACGGACAATTAATTTTAGGATGGAGGGAGTAGTAAATTAATTTATTAGGAATTTAAATTTCAACATCTTCAACATGACTTTCAATAGAATTCTTCAGCTGTATGAGAATGTTTACTGTTGCTAGTCCTACCATGATTTTAATGTTTATTTGAATGTCACAACATTTTACTACTATTTGAAATTTTGAATGGTCTCCAACTCAATTTGGACAGATTTTCTCCCACTTTCTTCTCAACTATTCTGTTGATTTTGCCCTATAAATAAGCGTTTTTCCCTTTTCTTCGTAAAGAGTAAAATTGATCATCTTATATTGCTGATTTGAGCTAATTTGAGTTCCAAAATCTCCTTATTCTAAGGCAGTGATTCTTCACGTTACAACATCACGTAAATTTTTGGCCTACATTCCCATTTGTTTATTGCCCTTTACAGTGTTCTTTTTTCCTAAATTCTGAGTTCATAAATTCGTTGGTCTAGATGAAAGTCAAAGCTCTCAGAGGTATGTTTTATCAATACATACTGACATACTGAGTACTCATTAGTTATTTATTTTGCTAAAGCTTTAATCTTTAAGCTGTCACTAGTTCATTCGGATTTAGCTGTCACGATAATAGTTTTAAAATATTACGAGTATATATCAACGTGACAACTAATTACGGAAGGGACAAAGTAACCCTGACCTAGAAAATCATAAGTCTTTCTATTGATTTACATAAGCACATGAAGCTATACCCTAACAAATTGCAACTAAGAGAAACAAGAATAAGATCAAGAACTAATAAAATTGATTGTTGAATGCTTTATCCTAAGGAGGACTTATTTTCATTGTTAACGGTGGAAAATTCCAACTGTATCTCATTAGTTTTTATAGGCGTACCACCTGTTTGTTATAATGTCCAAAATGATAGATTAGTTAAAGGGCTTCATATGTCATGATTGTCATCACTCAGTAATAGTGTGTAATTCTTAAACCTTTCAAAGGTAACTCAATTAATCATCTGTGTTTTGTGGGTTTACAGTTCACAGGCAAGCAATATGATTTCACAAGCTGAGCAAAAAAAATCGGGCTGAAATAAGGAAGGGTTAATTAATTAAGGTATAGATGGGTCAAACTCAAACAAAGTACAATAACAACATATGGCCAAATTTAGAATCCAAGGAGGAATATTTTATTAAAAATGGAGGAATTTTGCTGGAGAAACAAATTGCTCTGAACCAAGGCCAACTTAAGGGAGCTGGGCAGCTGAAGATTTTCTCTAGCCGGGAAATCGAAAAGGCGACAGATAGCTACAACCCTGATCTTATTGTTAACAGGAATCCTTATAGCACCGTATATAAAGCAACACTTGAAGATCGTATTGTAGCTGTCAGCGCCAGATTTACTTACAAGTCACCAAACTCCCAAATTGATTGATCTTTTTTTGACTGAAGCCTCAACATCAATGGTAATGAACCATGACAATATGGTTAAACTCTATGGTTGTTGCCTTGAGACATATATACCAGTACTAGTGTATGAGTACTTATCAAATGAAGACCTCTTTCAATGTTTGCATTATGTTGAACCTAGCAAGTGTATAAAGTGGGCAGATCGTTTGAGGGTCGCAACTGATACAGCTTATGCACTATCCTTTATGCATAATGCCTTATTAAAGCCAGTGGTGCATAGGGATGTCAAGTCATCAAGTATACTACTTGATTCTTCATTCAGTGGAAAATTAGATAACTTTTGCTATTCAGTGTCTATTACTCCAGGGGAGACTCCCCGAAAATGGCCTGTTGAAGGTACTCCAGGGTATATTGATCCTGAATACATAGAAACTCAAGAGGTGACAGATAAATGTGATGTGTATAGCTTTGGGGTTTTTATGTTGGAGCTATTAACCAGAAGGCAGCCTCTTCCGATGGCCAAACGTGGTACAGACTTGGTGGATGTGTTCGTTTCAAATGTGGAGCAGAATTGCATGATGGAGATGATCGATAATGAAGTCTTGCAGCAAGCAAGCAGGGATGAGATTCAACAGGTTGCAGGGCTTGCATTGGCATGTGTGGCAAAGAAAGGAGCTGAGAGACCAACAATGATTGACGTTGTTTCTGAGCTTTGGAGCATACAAGGACGAGACATGAGGTGCAACAGAAATTGTGTATGACATGCCTGATTCAAGTTTAGTAATAAAGATGCAGAAGAGCAAGGCGTACAGCAGAAGACAACAGGTGATTTAGTAGTACACAGTCAAAATTGAGCTTTATAATGTTCTTTTTATGCATGTGTCTTTATTTATATATAAACTGTAGGTGCAAAAAAACTGTAGTTTTCTATGGAAAAATATTTGTCACAATTAAAGGGGCTGGTATGTTTCTTAATGCCTATGCTTCCAATTCACCTTTTATGTGCTCTTTGGTCACATCTTCAATCACTTTCAGTTTATACAATGAAAAACCAATTCTAATTCCTCATTTTAAGAAAGCATATATTTTTAGACCTTGGGTCAAATATATAAATATCTTTTTGTTCTTATGCAATCATGTTAAACCTTTCTTCCTCCTTTGGCAATATACTTGTATGATTCGAAGACTACTGCACCAGAAAGTTCTTAGACAATCTTCATGGATTAATACTTTGGTATATGGTATATATATTTAGTTATTTAAGGGTGTTGGTTAACACATTACTGTTATGTATGTCTGCCACTGATAATAACAATTGTGACTTTGCTACTTTCTTCTTCACTGTGTTAAATTTCCCACCAAATATTTCCTATCAAAAAAAAAAAAAAAAAAAAGGTTCCATTAGGAGAAGGTTGACTGTTGACCGACTTGATCGACTTGTGTCATTCAATAAGCTCAGTCAAGCTGTCTATTCATCTAGCATTTCTGATTACGTGCAGTTGTCTCTCTTTCTTCGGTGTGGAAATGTCAAAAATGTGTAAAAAACTAATTGCTTGACTTTGGTTCAAATTGTAAGCCAATCTTTCTCTTCAGACAATATTTATGGTAGTTAATTGTCCCTCAAATAATACATGCCTTAACAAAATTGTGGTCTGTCTTTGGAGATATTCAGCCTGTATCCTTTAGTAGATTAGACCAGTGTGACTTGCGTTAAAAGAGCAGTTTTAAATTAGACCCTTCATGAAAAGAGCAGCAGCCAAATCGTCAGTTCATCTTGTTGGGTTTCTCCTGCTTGGATGATCCTCTTTTCTTGGGATTTTGTGTGTCAAAGGTAAGTTTCATTATATTAGAAACATAATTGGTTATCATGTTTTAAGTTATGAAATAATATTATTCTGTATAAAACGTGATGTATTTGTCTGTCATGCTAAACAATGTCAAAAGTTTCATTGTATCCAGGTCCCTTACATCAGATGGGGCAAACTCTTACAAAAGGCAAGATCAAGAACAAGAGAAAGCCAAAGTTTGATTCAAAGGAGGAGTATTTCATTAAAAATGGCGGTATTTTGTTGGAAAAACAAGTTGCTTTGAGCCGAGGCCACCATAAGGGAGATGGGCAACTAAAGATTTTCTCAAGCAAGGATATTGAGAAGGCTACAAACAACCATAACCCTGATCATTTTTCTGCCACTGATGGTCATTATATCTTCTATAGAGCAACCATCGATGACCGTGATGTAGCAATCAAAGCCCCGTCTGAGCCAGAACCAAAGCCTGAACTGATGGATCATTCTTTGACTGCAGCCTCAACAGTGATGGTGATGAATCATGCCAATATAATAAAACTGTATGGTTGTTGCCTTGAGACTTTTATACCAATAGTAGTTTATGAATTCCCACCTTGTGCAAATCTCTTTGATCATTTTCATAGTAATGTAGCATCTAACCAACGTGGTATAACATGGATTGATCGTTTGAGGGTTGCAACTGGTACAGCCTATGCCTTATCTTATATGCACACTGCCTTGCCAAAGCCAGTGGTGCACAGAAATGTGAAATCACTGAGTGTATTTTTTGATGATTCATTCCGTGCTATATTAGCAAACTTTGGCTACTCAGTGTCCATTACTCCAGGGGAAAATACCAAGGGATGGCCTGTCAAAGGAACACCGGGATATCTTGATCCCGAATATGTAGAAACTCGGGAGGTGACAGATAAATGTGATGTATATAGTTTTGGGGTTTTATTGTTGGAGCTGCTAACCAGAAGGCCACCCTGTGTTATGGCCGAAAATGGGATAGACTTGGTCAGTATGTTTATTTCTATGGTGGAAAAAAATCTTATGATGGAGATCATAGACAGTGAGGTCTTGCTACAAGCGAGTAGGGATGATATTCAAAGGGTTGCACAACTTGCTTTGAAATGTGTGGCAAAGGAAGGTGTACGAAGACCGACAATGGTTGAAGTAGTTAGAGAGCTTTGGCTGATGCAAGATCAGCATTGAGTAAACGAAACGGATGGGACTCTAAAGTCTCCTTTGACTAATTGATGATTTATGTTTGTTTTATTTTGATATAATATATACTGCTGCACACATTTTTTTGTTTTTGTTTTTTTTTTTGATAAGTTACACGCTAGTTTATTTGGACAATGATTCTCTCTATCTCTTTCCTCTTCGTATTAAGGAGCCGTTTGGTTCGCACAGCATAAATGGAATGGAATGAACAAAGGGATTCAAAGAGAATGGAATGAAACCCATTCCATATAACATGTTGTTTGTTTTACAAAAACCAAAGGAATCACCACCACCATAGCACCACCACCAACACCACCACAAAACCCCCTTTTCCTTCACTTTCCCACTTCTTCAGCTACCCCACCGCCCAGCCACCACATTGTCGGCATCCCCCGGAGCCCGTCGCACCTCCACCACCCCTCTCCTCCCCGAAAAACCTCCACCCACTCATCAAAACCCTAATTATTCATCATCTGAAACCCCACAAAAACCCTAATTATCGGCGGTGAACAGGGAGGTGCGTTGAGGGAGGTGCGACGAGGGTTAGAGGCGGTGTGAACTGGGGCGGTGCGAAGACTGCGAACAGGGGCGATGAGAACGAGAGAGGTACGATGAGGGAGGTGCGACGTAGGTAGTGGTGCGACGAGGGAGATGCGACGTAGCTGGTGGTGCGAACAGGGGCGGTGCAACGTAGCTGGTGGTGCGAACAGGGGCGGTGCGACGTAGCTGATGGGGCGAACAGGGACGGTGTGTAGCTGGTGGTGCAAACAGGGGTGGTGCGAACAGGGGCGGTGCGGCGTTGACCGGGGTAGGGCTCGATGTGCGGTGGGGGTAGGGGAGAAGGGTGGTGGTGTTGGCATGGTGGTGTAATGGTGGCTAGGAAAAGAGAATGGCAAAGTCTGGGGGGTGGGGAATCAATGTGGAGGGATTTTGGGTGAAGTCAAAAATAAAATTGGGTAAAGGGAATGATTAAATGTGACAAACAAACATCAACAAAGGGAATGAAGCAGGTTCAACAAAGGGAATGAAGCAGGTTCATTCCCTTTCCCTTTGATTATTAACCCCAACCAAACGGCTCCTAATTTCCATTTAAGTCATGTAATAGCTTAGACAATTTCTTTCATGATTCTTGTATAGTTGTATGTAATAACTAATAAACAAATTTTTTTTTTTTTTTTTTTTTCAATAATGCATTATTATAATACAAGTACAAACTCTATTACCTCATTAATCAATATGTTGGTGAGTAGTCATTGAATTATATAGGGCATTCAAATTTCAACATCTTCAACATGACATGACAGTCAATAGAATTTTTCAAAGCATCCCCCTAATGTCATTGGTATTCTTTGGTTGTCCAAATTCTAAATCCTGAGTCTCTTAGATATCTCAATAATTTCTGAGTTAAATCATAAATTCGTTGCTTAGAAAGTGTTTGTTAAAATGCCCAACAGAAATAGATGAAAGTCAGAGCCCTCAAAGGTAAGTAATCCTGAAGCTATCATTACTTCATCTGAATTTAGTTGTCACGATAATAGTTTAAAATATTATTGAATATATATCAACGTGACAATTAAGGACGGAGTAACCCTGACCCAGAACAATTGTCTTTCTATTGATTTGCACAAGCGCAGGAAGCTATCTTCAAACAAATTCCAACAAAGAGAAACAAGAATAAGTAAGATCAAGAACTAATATAATTGTTCAATGTTTTGTTCATTGGAAGATTTTTTATTATTGGTAATAGTGGAGAATACAAACTGTATCTCTATTAGTTTTTATATGCCTACCACCTGTTTGTTAAAATGTCCAAGAGAAGAGATTAGTTAAAGGGGTTCATATTCCATCTGTAATGGTATGTAATTCCTTAACCTTAAAAAGGTAACTCAATTAATCATCTGTGTTTTGTGGGTTTACAGTTCACAGGCAATATGATTTCATGAGCTGAGTAAAAAATCGGGCCGAAATAAGGAAGCATATTCATCAAGGTATAGATGGGTCAAACTCAAACAAAGTACAAGAACAAGAAAGGGCCTAAGTTTGAATCCAAGGAGGAATATTTTGTTAAAAATGGAGGAATTTTGCTTGAGAAACAAATTGCCCTGAGCCAAGGCCAACATAAGGGAGCTGGGCAGCTGAAGATTTTCTCTAGCCGGGAAATCGAAAAGGCTACAGATAGCTATAACCCTGATCTTATTGTTGGCAGAAGCTCTTATAGCACCGTATATAAGGCAACACTTGAAGATCGTATTGTAGCTGTCAAAGCCCCGCCACATTTAGGTATAAGTCAGCCAAATCCCGAAATGATTGATCTTTATCTAACTGAAGCCTCAACATCTATGATAATGGACCATGACAATATGGTAAAACTCTATGGTTGTTGCCTCGAGACATATATACCAGTACTAGTGTACGAGTTCTTACCAAATGGAGGCCTCTTTCAATCTTTATATGGTGATGTTGCACCTAGCAAGCGTATAAAGTGGGTTGATTGTTTGAGGGTTGCTAGTGACACGGCCTATGCCCTATCCTATCTGCATAATGCCCTATTAAAGCCGGTGGTGCATAGGGATGTCAAGTCATTAAGTATACTGCTTGATTCTTCATTCCGTGGCAAATTAGCAAACTTTGGCTATTCAGTGTCCATTACTCCAGGGGAGACTCCCCAAAAATGGCCTGTTGAAGGAACTCCAGGATATATTGATCCTGAATACATAGAAACTCAAGAGGTAACAGATAAGTGTGATGTGTACAGCTTTGGGGTTTTCATGTTAGAGCTATTAACCAGAAAGCAGCCCCTTCTGATGGCCAAAGGTGGCACAGACTTGGTGGATGTGTTCATTTCAAATGTGGAGAAGAACTGCATGATGGAGATGATCGATAATGAGGTCTTGCAGCAAGCTAGCTGGAATGAGATTCAACAGGTTGCAGAGCTTGCTTTGACATGTGTGGCAAAGAAAGGAGCTGAGAGACCGACAATGATTGATGTTGTTGGTGAGCTTTGGAGCATACAAGGACAAGACATGAAATGAAACAGAAATTGTGTTGGTTGATTGGTTCAACTGTTCTCAGAAATAAAGATGCAGACGAGCAAGGCACACAGCAGAAGACATTTCTGGTAAATTTTGACATTACTAGAATGCTGTTCTTACATATGTTTCTACTATCTAGTATTGGTGCAAAAAAATATAGTTTGCTATGGAAAAATGGTGGTTTTGGTCGTTTATTGGATTAGAAATACTATTTACAATCTTTTAACTTTTTAGTCTGCTAGGAATACTGTCTGCTTTCAGGTTTTAGGTAAACTTGATTCCCCCCCCCCCCACCCCCCATGATTAATGTTTGCAGTAGTATCTGAAGATTACTAATAACAAAAAAAAAGGACTATTTACATCGTTCTTTTTCAAATACCAAAAAGGGGCTGGTATGTTTCTTAATGACTATGCTTCCCATTCACATTTATGTGCTCTTTGGTCACATCTTCAATCATTTTCAGTTTATAGAATGAAGAACTAGTTCTATTTTTTTTTTTTTTTTTGGTCCTTCCGATTGAACACATCAAGCACAATCAGTTATCAAGAATTTAGAAATAGTAAGCATCACGGTGGTCATAGGTATTCATTAGAGGTGATCAATGGCCGGGCCGGACCGAATGCAAAAAAAAAAAAATTGCCCATTTTTCGGGTCGGGACGGGTTGGGCCGAGCTTTGTGCCGAAAAACGTGTGCCCAAACTAGTCGGGCCATGCGGGCTTTTCGTGCCAACTTTGGGCCGGGCCAAAAAAACAACCAAAAATGCATAAAATCCATTTCCCAAACCCGTCCAAACTTTTAAAAAAATTGGGTTGGGCCCTACCCGATTTCGGGCCGGAAAAATCTGCCCAAAATCAGGTCGGGTCGGGCTGGGCTCATTATGATCAGCTCTAGCATTAATGTCCACAGTGACCACATGTATTGGGCATTTGCTAAGGGGTGTATGTTTTTTCTTCTTGACTAGTAAATATTCAAGATGCAGGCTTTGTAAAGAATGATGCAGAAAGGTATAAAAATTCAGGTACTCAGCAGAAGGCAACAGCTTGCCAATCTAATGGAGCAAACATGCAGAGCATATACTTTGTGTTCTTTAATGTTAGAATCGGGGATGAACATTGGAGTTGTGTTTAATGAGACAGAAATGAGCTTTTGTCTAGTGATCTAGTACTTCGTATATATACATATGTCTGTACAATTTCTGCCAGATTTTACTCAGAGATTGAGATTATATACCTTGTGAAACCTTGTGTTAATGTCATTAAGTGGTAATACTGCTCTTGCTGTCTTTCTCCCTTTCCTGAACTTTTTAGTTTATTTAGAAAGGCTAAGGTTTGTGGCCTTTCTGGTTTCACAAGGGGTGGCCTCCTCGAGTGGCCCAACTTAACAACCCAAAAACTATGAACATCACAGTTATCTGTGACCTCGAGTTTCGATGAGTGAGAATGTGAGATTAATAAACTCACAAGTAAAATTATTGCAATTTATGTATCATCTAAAATGACATTATGGCCCATGGCTGCACATCACTCTGAACTAGTGGCTTTGATAAAATGTGTTGAATGTGAGAATCTCATGTAATCATTTAGTGTATGAAGTAATATTTTAGAAAAAGAACTTCTAAATACAATTTTGTTTTTATTATAAATAAAATGAGCTGCAGGCCTGCAGCAACCAAAAATTATGAAAGGATCAGATGGAATAGTAGGCCGTCCTGCATCCTGCCTAGAACCTGTTTGATAAAATGCCAAAGAGAGGAGATAAAGTCAACGATAGATCTCAATACTATTACTGATTATTTTATCCCCAAAAGGAGTTTTCTGTCATCCATTCTTCGGTTATTTTTTCATTCCCAAAAGCAAAGATGTGTTCAAAGGTGGATCACTATTTCGTCTGTCGTCAATAATCGGATTGAGTTATAATCATAAATTTTCTACTCAAGAGTCAAATTTTTATCATCTGTGTTTTGTTATGTTAATTTACAATATGCTAATCAAATTTTATACTTTACAGGCAATATGATTTCATAAGCTGATTGAAATTTTGGGCTAAAACAAGGAAGCATTCATCAAGATATAGATGGGTCAAACTCAAACCAAGTATAAGAACAAGAGAAGGCCGAAGTTTGAATTTAGGGAGGAATATTTTATCAAAAATGGTGGAATTCTGCTGGAAAAAACAGATTGCACTGAGCCAAGGCCTACATAAGGGTGCTTGGCAGCTGAAGATTTTCTCAAGCCAGGAAATCGAAAAGGCTACAGATAGCTTTGACCCTGATTTAATTCTTGGCTTTAGTGCGCATAGCACCATCTATAAAGCAAGAATTGAAGGACGTCTTGTTGCCATTGAAACCGCGCTTGAGCTAGAACCAAAGTCTGAACTGGTTGATCTCTCCTTGACTGCAGCGTCAACAGCGATGGTGATGAATCATGACAATATGGTTAAACTCTATGGCTGTTGCCTTGAGACAGTTGTACCAATAATAGTGTATGAATTTGTATCATATGGAAGCCTTTTTGAGTGTTTACATGGTGATATTGCGTGTAGCAAGCGTATTAAGTGGGCTGATTGTTTGAGGATCGCAATTGATACAGCCTATGCACTATCCTATATGCATAATGCCTTGTCAAAGCCAGTGGTGCATAGGGATGTTAATTCAAAAAGTATACTACTTGATAATTCATTCCATGGGACATTATCAAACTTTGGCTATTCAGTGTCCATTACACCAGGGAAACCTCCCCAAAGATGGCCAGTTAAAGGCACTCCAGGATACATTGATCCCGAACACATGGAAACCCAAGAGGTGACAGACAAGTGTGATGTGTATAGCGTTGGGGTTGTTATGCTGGAACTATTAACCAGAAGGCAGCCCCTTTTGATGGCCAGAGATGGGACAGACTTGGTTGACCTTTTTGTTTCAGCTGTGAGGAAGAATTGCATGATGGAAATGATCGACAATGAGGTCGTGCAGCAAGCAAGCAGGGATGAGATTCAACAGGTTGCAGAGCTTGCATTGGCATGCGTGGCAAAGAAAGGAGCTGAGAGACCGACAATGATTGATGTTGTTGGTGAGCTTTGGAGCATACAAGGACGAGACATGAAGTGGAACAGAAATTGTGTATGACATGTCAGATTCGACTGTTCAAGCTTAGAAATTTATGCAGACGAGCAAGGTGTACAGCAGAAGACAGCAGGTAGTTGATTAGTTGGAAATAGTTTGTAATGTATCCAATATAGTTGCAGCACTGTAGTTTCTTCCGAATAACAGTAGTTTTGGTCCTTTGGTTTAGGATAAGTACTCTTTAATCTTTATAATCTTTCAATTTTTTAGTCTCCTAGTACAACTGTCTTTACTTTCAGGATATATATTTATATACGAAGTATATAGTGTGGAAAAAAAACAGGCTCCAATTTATGTTGATTTTTTTTTTTTTTTTTTCTTAGAATACTGAAAGGCTCTGGACCTTATGGTATATTTCTTAATGCCTTTGCTTCCAATTTCCCTTGTATTTTGGCCATATCTTCAATCAATTTTACAGTGTAAAACAAGAGAAATGAGTCAATAATTCATTAATTCCCGTCTACCAATTGAAAAAAAAAAAAAGATGGGAATTGAATTGATTTGTTTCTGTAGGCTGGCCAAGTTTGTGTAATCAGTAGAACACAGCAAATCTATCTCCAATCACCAGACCTTATGATCGTTCCGTGCAAATCGAACAAATAAACCAACCGAATGTTAGCTCTTGACTTTGTATTGAAATAGTGAGGTTGGCTACTTGGCTATACAGCTTTTCTGGTGTCATCAATCTAACTGACAGCTACTAGCAATGTCATCAGTTGAACTATTGCTGGTGTTATTATGCAAATATCAGAGTTCTGAATGTTAGGAACTGGCAATACTCTCTATTTCATTGCCTCTTCTTGATTCTTTCCTCTCACTGACTCTTAAGTCTTAACTCATGTGCTGCCCTACACAATAAAAAGATAAATCCTTTAGTTTGTTTCCCCCCAAATTTAACATTCAGCTAAATGATAGAAGTACTTATGTAAAGATAATTATGATCAAATGTGTACATTAAACTAATGTTTTTATGATCAAATGTTCTTATGAAACTTGTTTTTACAAGATTAGTCAACCTGCCACTTTCAATCTATATTATAATGTAGATATAGGTGGGTCATTAGTGTAGTGATGTCCTACCAAGCTTAAAATCCTAGATCCGCCACAATTTTAAAAAGTGAAGTGGTTGATTAAAAGTAATTATAGTGATTCTCCGTACAATTATACACACATCTTATTTAGAAGGTTGTGTATTAAATTATTAGACTACACATTTGACCGGTTCTCCTAGGCCTCATTATTTTGATTGACTATTTGTTTTATCATCTCCACCAACTATTAATACCCGCTATTATCAGCTAATGAGTTGAGTGAGGATCTCACATATTCTCAAATTAATTTCTTTGGCTTTCTTCAAAACAATTTTACTATTAATCATTAATCATTTTATTATTAGTGCTTTAATTAATTAATCGACTCACCGAGAGATCTCCGGTGTCTTAATTATCACTTCAATCTGCGGCTAAGGTTTCGAATCGTTTCTGAGCTTTTTTTGGAACGTTTCGAAACGGGGACGGGTAACGTTTCTGAGCTTCGTACAATTATACTCCGTACAATTTTACTGGTATGGCACCTATTTTCTTGCTTGATCATTTTTTGTACTCATACAGTTGGATTTTAAGATTTTTTTTTTTTTTTTTTTTTTTTTTTGCAGTTTACTAATTTTCTGTCCTAAGATAATAAGATTGAACCTTTTACTTATTTTTATTATAGAACATTTACTCATGGATAATTTGGTGAAAAACAAATTCCATTTTAATATTATAAGGAGTAGAAATTTGTGCTGAACTCAATTAAGTAAAAACAAATTAGTAAATTACTAACATCATAAGAAGTAACAAATAATTTGGTGGTATTAATAGTTAAGGGTGATGAATCCTCAACTTCATGGTTGGAAGGTGCGTGAGAGCTCTACAATTGAGCTCCCACTTGATTCTCGTACCATTGTTTGGGTGTCACAAATATATCTCATTGTAAAATACTCCCTTCGTCCCTAAATTACATTCTGAGGGAATATATGGAGTACTGTGTAATAGTTTGCTACTAAGAGAGCAGGAGATCTCCTAGATGGCTTAAGGAAATAATGGCCATTATTATGCTAACACATCTTTTTACTTCTTAGGCAATAATTTGTGCTAGCCTAAGCAAAATAATTTGCCCGAAAACAGTCTCTATTATATGGATAAAGTTCAAGTGAAAATCAATGAGAAGATTGGGAACAAGAGAAGATTAAATTTAGATTCGAAGGAGTTGTATTTCAATCAGAATGGAGGAATTTTGTTAGAAAAGCAAATTGCTCTTAGCCAAGGTCGTAATGTAGGTCCAGGACAGCTGAAAATTTTATCACACAAGGATATTGAGAAGGCTACAAACAATCTTGACCCTAATCTTCTTGTTGGTAGTAGTGCTCAAAGAAACGTCTACAAAGCAACCATTGAAGATCGTATTGTAGTTGTTGGAGTTCCATTGCAGCTAGAGAGAAATCCTAAATTGGTTGATCGCAACTTGAATGAAGCATCAATAGCTATGGTTATGAATCATGAAAATATGGTTAAACTCTATGGTTGTTGCCTCGATACTTATATACCAATACTAGTGTATGAAATGTTGCCAAATGGGATCCTTTCTCAACATTTACATGGTGATACAGCATCTATCAAGTGCTTAAAGTGGGCTGACCGTTTGAGAGTTGCAACTGATACAGCATATGCACTATCTTATATGCATAATGCCTTGCGAAAGCCAGTGGTGCATAGGGGAGTTAGCTCAGCAAGTGTACTTCTTGATTCTTCATTCCAGGCTAAGTTAGGAAACTTTGGTTATGCAGTGTCTATTAATCCAGGGGATACATCTGAAAGATGGTCTGTTGAAGGAAGTCCAGGATTTATCGATCCTGAGTACATTGAGACTCAGGTGGTGACAGATAAGTGTGATGTGTACAGTTTTGGTGTTTTATTGTTGGAGTTGCTAACCAGAAGTAATCCCATTAGGATGCTTAGAGGCGGGAGAGACTTGGTTGATGTTTTTGTTTCAGCTTTCCAAAATAATTGCGTTATGAACATGATCGACAGGGAGCTACTGAATCAAGCAAGTAGGGATGAGATTAAACAGGCTGTGCAAATTGCAGTGAAATGTGTGGCAAAGAAAGGGACTGAGAGACCAACCATGATTGAAGTTGTTGTGCAACTTCGGCAGATAAGAGGTAGAGTGGATGTCATTCAGTTCACTGACAGATAATTTCCATGTATGCAGTATGTATTAGTTAGAGAGTGTAGATCGTCGAATTAATGTGGTAAAAAATTTCTGTAGATACCTATGGTGGGCGTGGAAATAATCGAGTCCAAGGCAATCGTAAACATGCACATGGTGCTGGAAAACTTGATCAGCAACAAGGGGGTGAATCTGGGCAAGCACAAACACAATCTAACTAAACAATCTTTGTGCAGGAACTAGAAACATCATCAAATTGCATTCAGACTCAGGTACTTTCTCTTCTAAATCTCCCTACTCTAGACCTGATTCATGTGTCAACAGCTAATGGCACCAATCTCCCTATATCTAATGTTGGCAATGTGCCCTTATTGGAGTCTAAATCACATTCTTACAGTTGAATAATGTTTTACATATGTTCCCAAATTGAAGTCATTGAATGTTGGTTCAGAATCTCAGATATTGTAACCAATAGCAATAAATTACTGAATATAATAACTTTCTGTTTGTGTTAGGGACAGTCATATGGAGGGGCTTCTTCAAGAAACATAGGGAAGTTTAACCTTATCATGGCTGTCAACTTCGTTTGTCTCCTCAAGCTCTGATGTTGGAACTATTAACCAGAAGGCAGCCCCTCATAATGACCATTAAAAAAATTGCACGGTGGAGATGACTATTAATCATGGTGATCATATATTCACAACAGTCTACTGCTCATGTTATTTATCTTTTCTTTTTCTTCCCTTCGTGGTTGATGTGTAAGAGGCATCGATTAGTACCTGTATTAAGTTAAGCTCCTCTAGAAATACTTTGGAGTGAAAGAGAGCAACAAACTTTAGCATATGCCTGATGTAAAAATACCGGCCTTTATTAAACAGGCAAATGTATTTTCCAGAGCTGGCCTTATAAGTTAAGCAGGCCAGAATAAGCATTTGCAAAAACAAGCAGTAAGAACAGAGAGAATTTTGACTGACAAAAGAATAGAAAAGATTTAGCTTAGTCCATAACAAACGATAAAGTGAAAATAAGCAAAGTATAACATTACAGATGAGCACAAACTAACAAATTGTTAATTTGAAAATAACTTACTAAACAAAAAGCCAGAATTAATGACATAATTTACACAAGGGATTTCCTTGAATCAATAAATGCAGCTTTGGTAGCCAGTTAACTTAAGCAGAAGAGATATCACCTTTTGAAGATAAATGAATATTTTTTTAAAAGCCGCCATTTGGAATATAAATGAAGTATAATTTTTGAGGTATATATAGTTTACAATTATGTCTTCTCTCAAGATTAAAACCTGAAATTCAAATTGATTACCAATCAAACTCTAGCTTATCTTTGCAGAAAAAGAGAGACGATAACCATGGCATTGCCTAATAAGTCAGACAATACAGAAAATTACTTAGAACTCTGTAACACCTAATACAAGCCCAAACCAAACCTAGGCAACCACGGCTTTAACCCCTCTAGATGCGGAATAGCACTGCCTGAATGTAGGTTTCCCATTACAATTAACAAGTGGAACTGCAGGAGACAAAAGTGCAACAGTTTTTGCATTACAAGTTACAATATCAGGGTTAGTTCATAACAAACTATGTGTCGTTATTACCATATTTTTTGAACAAAGCTTGTGGAAAATAAGAAGAGATGGATCTTAAAGAGCCTAAAGAGAGATCTTCTGTGTAAGATGCAGATGGAGGCATTAAACTATCACTTGCACTCACTTCGATTTCTATGGATTTATGTTCATTGGTCTGAGGCAGATCATTTGTATATGTAGCAGGCACATCTTCCAGTTGACGGATGACCTCCAACTGCAACGCAACTTCTCTCATTGTTGGCCTTTGTTTCCCATCCATATTCAAACACTGCTTAGCAAGATTGGCAGTGGCTAGGATGCTTTCTTTTCTACCCTCTTTCACAACTTGAGGTGCCAATATATCACACAAGTCTAAACTTTCCATAGCTGATAGAAACCACAACACCAGACTTTGACCCTCAGGAGTGTCAGCAGGACGAACTGCCTTTAGCCCTGTCAAAAGCTCCACAAGAACTACTCCAAAGCTGTAAACGTCACTCTTTTCAGTGAATTGATGTGATCGAAAGTATTCAGGATCAAGATAACCAAATGTGCCTAGAACACAAGTGGTTAAATGAGTTTGATCAATAGCAATAGATCTTGATGTTCCAAAATCTGATAACTTTGCTCTATATTTTGAATCAAGAAGTATATTAGAACTTTTGATATCTCTGTGAAAAATGGGCTTTGAGGATGCGGAGTGCAAGTAAGAAAGAGCTCCCGCTACATCTATAGCAATATGCAAGCGCATATCCCATGCAACTGGGAAATCTTCACTCGGATCATGGATACACTTGGAGAGAGTCCCATTCGGGACAAACTCATAGACAAGCAGAGGAACTTCTGTTTCCAAACAACATCCTAATAACTTGACTATATTTCTATGGTTGATTTGGGATAGAATAACCACCTCGTTAATGAATGGACCCAACTGGCCTTGCCCTTCTACTATGGATTTCTTTATTGCGACAATGTTTCCATCAGTTAACATACCTTTATAAACTGTACCTTGACCTCCCTGACCCAGCACTCTGTCTTCATTGAAATCATCAGTAGCCCTTTTCAGCTCATCAGCAGTGAAGATTCTTGTTTTTTCTATCAAACCATCCTCAGATGACATTTGTTGTTGCAATAACAAACCACCATTTTGCTTAAAGTATGTAGCCCTTTGAATTCTCTCCCTTCTTCTGCTAGCTATGATGAATAGCCAAAACCCACTAAGAAAGAAAAGTATAGATCCCAAACCCAAGCCAAGTCCTGCAAAATGCAGATAACAGTTATATTTTGCAAGGATGAGGCTTACAGAACACTGAATTTTAACCTTCAAATGCAAAAATTTCTTAACAAAATAAAATAAGGCGTTTTCATATTCCATTCCTAAATAATTTTTGAGCACCATAATTAAGCAGCTAATTCTAGGCTTAGTGGCTGAATACTAACATGAACAGCAGCCTCAGCTTTATAGTATTCAATAACAGATCCAAGTATAATTACAACAAGAAATAAACAAATTCTAATTACCTAGACCGATGAACAATTTCAAACCATTAGAACGACAACCAGTTCCATCTTTCCTTCCATCACCATAATATCCAGTTGGGCAGTGACATTCATAGCTTCCTGGAGTGTTGACACAAGTACCAGAACACGGAGTATTTGGCCCTGCACACTCATCAATGTCTGAGACAAGAGTTAAAAAATGGTTAATATAGGGGTGTCTCAGAATATAAATTTATTTACAGTCCAAAAAAAAATCCATGTAATACGAAGGAATTAGAAACAATATACTAACCTTTACAACCTGTGCTAAGATAAGGATTACCCTGATACCCTTGAAGACATTCACAGTGATACCCTACTACTCTCAGAACCTTATCAAGGTCAATGCAAGTTGTATTCTGTTGGCAAGCACAAGTTGCTGAATCCTTTTGAGCATCCTTGCACAATTTATTGGGAATAAACCAGTCAAGCACTATAGGCACAGAGTTAAGACTTGCAGCATCTGGGGACCCACGAATGTTGAAGCTTGATTTTTTGAGTATGAAGGCATAACTGCAATTCCCTGATGAAAACCTTGTCACATAATCAACTTTTTTAAGGGTAATATTCCAGAACTGTAATCCCTTTGGAATGGGAGCTTCACAGCATCCAGTGCCGGAGCAAAGTTGATCAAGCAAATCTGCTTTTCGATTGCACAAAGCAACACAGCTAAAGACTTCCCTGCCAGCAATGGTTTGCGCCTCAGCAAATCCATAGTGATGGCAACCAGTGACCACAAACTTGTTGGAAGTGGATGACACAGCATAGGGTTTGGCTGTAAGATTAAGATTATTCAAGGTGACAATTTCACCTGAGCCTGCTAATGCAGAGTTGCAAGCAGTAGCAACAGGAAGAGCTGTAGTTATCAGCTGGGTCTCAGATATGTCAAGAACTTGTCTATTGAAAAGTCTAGGCACAGAGGAATTCTTTTTTATGTCACAAACTATAACATAGTTATCTCCCAAAGCACAGCCTCTGCCAATGCCAAAAGGGTAGGGAATTGTCAATTTTCCACACTTACGTGGGCATCCAGGCAGTGTAGTACTGGAAGCAGTGAGCATGGTGGTTCGATGTGACTGCATGAATGAAGCCAATGCTAGGCATGGAAAACCAAGCAAAAGCCATGTAAAAGAGAAGAATATTGCTAAGGAAATTTTTCTCAAAAGAAACATATCTCTCACCTCTACTGAGATCATGTAACTAATACTTCCCTGCTCAAACAATATATAAGAATCATAGCCTGTTATAATAGCCACTTTAATGCAATTCACCCACATTATTCCAAAGTCTAAGAAGATTATTTTATTTTATTATTAGCACAAAATTAAAGGGACTTTGGGTGGGAAAAATACAATGACTATAAGAGTACTAGTATAATAATTAAAGGGGAGATTATGATAACCTTAAAAATTTAAGGGTCACAAGAGCAATAACTTTAAATTCTTTTAATCCTGCAGTCTTTTTCTAGCCAATCTGCACAAGGTTCATATATCTTTAGCATAACTGCTCTTTTTTGTAATCTGAAAAGTAAATGAGCAATTTAAGTATGATTATTGGCCTAATCTGTTGACTCTTATGCATTATCAATAGATTAATAGCCACTAACCAATAGTGTTTTTGTGGTCCAAAACATCTTTAATAGCTATAAAATAGTTGTTTATCTTTCATCCTAATGGCATACTATATTTATATCTGCATATAGCTTCTATATATCATTCCTTCACTCTCTCCTAAGATTCATCATATTTATAAGATTTGAGTTACCTAATTAGACTTTAGACTAGAGGGGAGCATTAAATAAAAGAGTGCCATCATTTGCCGGGCATTAAAACGTGTTTATTAAAGAATAAAAAGGAGTTCTCCATCACATCTAAACAACAGTTATGTAAAGTCTGTTAGAAATCTTTATTAATTTCTCTATGTAAGGCCTATGTCTGCCTTCATACATTTCCATACTTTTCATGAATCATGATTGTCTTACTTGAGAACCTACAGAGCCTCTTTTCACCTTAAGAAAAAATAGTTTTTGGAACTATACATTCAAGAGGTACAAATAAGGGCTGCCTAATTTTCATGTATCCCTGGCATTTTCCAAGGCCGTTCTAACTCTATTACCTGATAGTGTAATAGGCTGTTAGAACATACTACTACTAGTACTCACTCTGACCCTATTAGCTTTCCCAAGATTCTATTTTCGTATATCCCTTAAAGATTGTCCCACTTCGTAACATAAATACACGTCCCCACCACTAATACCACTTACATGTATACTCTTAAAAGTAAAAAGACAAAGATACCCTCATCCACTTGAAATATTTTGGTTCAATCCATAATAAAAATACATTTGCCTATGGATTAGGGTCTTAGGGATGGAGGGAGCGCAACATTAACAAAAATCAGTGCCTAGAGTGCCTCACCATGTACTAGGCAGCAGGGTTTGAACAATAAAATTCATTCAAAATTAATGGAATATATCCAACTACAAGCATAGCACACAAGCGAGAAGACTTCATTAGAGTAACTGAAATATACCCAATCCTATAATTATTCTGTTTAAGCTAGCTTAGCAATACTGTGACTAACAGAGATGAGATGATCCAGTCACATGACTAAGTGTAACTGTATCATAATCAGCAATTCCGCATGATGACCAGGAGAATTGTAGTCACTCTTAAGAGCAAGAAATTAAGGAATCCTTAATTCAGACTTACAGTATCACAGGTAGATAGAAAACATACATATTATTTTACACCGATAAGGCGATAACAGTGCATTAGGTTCTGGTCCTCAGCCCCTCTACGCCAGCATTCAAATGAGCTTCAGGGTGTTATCTTAAATGAGACTAAATAGGCATCCTTGGTTCAAATACAGGTCAGTCTATACTTTTTATAAGATATAGCTCAAACCACTAGAATAATTAAATACAATCCACTATTCAGGTCTGCAGGTTATGTTGCTAGTTAGTTGTACCTGCTTATATAAACTAATGCTTGAGGCCAGATAGTTGCAGTATCAGAAATTCAGAATGGTGCTTTATAAAGAAATTAACTTTAAATTAAAGCTTATAAAAAAAAAAATACTGTTGTGTTTCTCACAATGAAGGTTGATTAACGCTCTTAATCACTCATCAGACCTAACTGTCAAATTATTTAATTAAAATGAAGGTAAATCTCCTACCAATAGTACTAGGGATGTCAGTGGGACGGGTCAAGTAGGAGACCCGCCCCATCCCCGCCCCAATGAGGCGGGAATGGGTCTCGGTTTGGCGGGTGGTGGGGCGGAGATGGGGATAAAAACCATACCCGCCATGGGTGATGGGGCGGGGGTGGATTTTAAGTTGTACCCGCCCTATCCCCGCCCCGCCCCATCCGCCCCCACTTCGTACCCGCCTCATCCCCACCTTATACCCACATCTATATATCTTTTAAAGCAAAATTACATACTTTTATTCTATTTATAAAATAATTACATGAAATACAATATTAATTATAATACTTTGTACGACACTTATATTATAACACAAAAATGTGTATAGAATGTTTCACTTTATAATTCGTATTAATTATGTAAGATTGTGTATTTGAAATACGGATATTAGGTGGATCTTGGGTGGGGATTAGGTGGGGATGGATATCCAAGTGGGGGGTGGGGCGGGGATGGTTTTAGAGTTGTACCCGGTGGGGCGGGGATGGGGATGAAAATTGGACCCGCCACGGGGATGGGGATGGGAAGGCCAACATCCGCCCCGCCCCGCCCCATTAACATCCCTAAATAGTACTATCAGTTTGCTGAATGATGTATTTTGAATCAGAGTATGGATCCTCTAGTAACTATATTTCATCGACTCTCCCGATCAGGGTTACAGGATAAAAACTCCTAGCAAAGTTGAAGCACGGTTTGATCTTCAATTAACTTAGTTTGGGAGAAAAAAAAAATGTAGCTTCCTAAATTATGAGTACAGAATCTATTTTAACAGGTAGAAGAGCTTTTTTTTTCCCCCAAATACAATCTTGTGCAAATCTAAGTACAAAAGTTAAAGTTACAGCTAGCAACTACTGCCTATAATATTAAATATACCTATCAAAATCTAGCAACAAAAGTAAGCTGATATACACAAACACTGAAAGATCTATCAAATGAAATTAGTGGAACTAAGCCTCGACCAATAAGCCCACTTAGTAGAAAGATTTGTCTTCTGTTTTCATTAACTAATGAAGCATAAAGGTTCTCCAATATTCCCTCCTAATTACAATACCATTGATTAAAAAAACACTCAAACATCAATGTGTAAAATATAGCTAGTTAAGCCCATTAAAATATATCAAAGGTGAAGCAGAACAAATACCATCACTTGATTAACTATAGTTTAGGCAAAACTATTCTAATAACAGCACTATGAGTACATCAGAATTTAGTATAAACCTTAATTGACGTTCTTTTCATCAAGCAAGACGTGCAGAAGGTCCTTTGCTGAATCAACTTCAATTCAATTGATTAGTTTCTGAAGTCGGTCCTTTGATGAATCACATAAGTTACCAGAAGGCAAAAGGCTAACAAACAGCGAAAAAGTGTTTGCATCAGCTTCAAATCCCTTGCGAACCATAATGTCACAATAGTATAGTGCATTTAACAAGTCATTATTGAGAATATATCCTCGGATGATCATATTATAGGTACAATCACTAGGGGGGCAACCATCTTCGTCCATTTTGCTTAATAATTGAGCAGCTTCATTCATGAGCCCTTTCTTGCAGAAGCCTTTAATCATTACAGTCCGGTTGCAGACCCCTTAACACAAGATTAGAGAAGAATTTTGCTGCATCTTCAAGTTGCCCAGCCTCACACAAGCTGTCAATTAGGATATTGTAAGTGACAGTAGTAGGCTTGATACCTTTATCCTCCATATCTTCAAGTAATGCCACTGCCTCACCCAGCCGTGCACTTTTGCACAGGCCATCAAGCAATGAGTTATACATGACAACATCAGGAGCAACTCCTTGAGCTCGCATATCTGTGAAAAACTTCCGTGCAAGTGTAATTTTATTGGTTTTACACAAGCCATCAATAAGAGTGGAATAGGTTACAACATTCGGTGTTATCCCTTTTTGAAACATATATTCTAACATAGTAAGAGCCTTGTCAATGTTTTTGAGTTTGACATATCCATTGATCATAGTATTAAAACTTACTAGATCAGGCTCACAACCATTTTGGGCCATGGTATTTAGTAGCTTTTTTGCATCTCTCATCTGACCACGCAAACAAAAACCATCAAGTAAAGCATTGTAAGTAATGATGTCAGGAGCTACACCCTTGTCTGTCATGTGTCTAAATGACAGTAACAATTAGCAAGAATACCAAACGAAATGCCTATCGGACCTAATACCCAGTAATTCAAGCTGCCTGGTAAGAGAAATAATGGTGGAATGAGGATGAAGGTATTTCAATTTGGAAATGGCAGTGAATAACTGATTGAAAACGATAACACAAGGAAGAGGACGCAAAGAGATCAATTGATTGAAGAGGGAAAGGGGAAATTTTAGATTGGAAAACCCTAATTTGCAATGTTCTCTAACAGAATTAAGAATCAAATGACGATTATCAAATTGAAAAGAATTATGGGAATAAAATCGGAAATTATAAGATTGAAAGAGAGAATTGGAGGGAAATTTACCATGAAAAAGGTTTGTAGCCATTGATTTCAAGACATGAACATTCCAGATTAACTTCATCTCAACTTCAGAGCAAACAAGTGTATTATAATCGCATTCGATGCAGGTGAGGAAGTTTCTGCTGAAACAAATGAAGAAGATAAAAGAGAATGTTGTTAACTGTAATGTGTTACACCGAGCTCAACCAGCTCAACGTGCAATTGATCAAGTTCTTAGCCTAGTAAGTGTACGTTTAGTTCGTAAGCTATTATGATGTGTCGATGTATTAGTTTGGAATGAGAAATGAAATAACACAAAAAATTATACTCCAATAATGCTATTATATCTTCCAATTTTCAAAAATAGTCTCTTTTCCTTATTATGAAATCTCACTTTATTGTTCATGTAAGCATGTACTAGTTAAGAGAGAGCGGTTTTCAAACAAAAGACCAGTAAATAAGAAGGCTGATTTTTCTGTTAACTAAAAAGATTGGAAGAAATATCCTTATTGCTAGATTATTCCAACGACAACTCATCATTCCGCTTAAAAAAAAAAAAAAAAAAAAAAAAAAACTCACGACTCCGACTGTAAATATTGGAAAAGAGGGAATGAAACGGAATGTCATAATTTTTACAAGAAAATACAGGAGTGATCATTAGACATTAGTCATACTGCTCACAAATAGTATTAGTAAGAATCGGATATACACATAGTAACAGGAACAAGATCCGTGCAAATTGCTAGCTACCTTATTAACTTGGCAGCATTTACAACAGTGATGTTGTAATCACTTATTGATCTAGGGGTGTTGAAGGAGGAGGAGGAGAGGCAGACCTAATTTAAGGTAATGAGCAATGTTCTTCTGGATAGGATGCAATAGACAGTATCTTGCACTCACTTTGATTTCTGTAAAATTGAAGCTCATTTCTGGCAAATTGTTTTGATGCGAAACATGCACGTTTTCTGACCAAACAAATACAGGTTCAAGAATCAAGACAATAAGAGCATATAAAATTCTGGTTGCCAAAACCAGAGTTCAGAAAAATCATGCCCCGTCATGAGTTTCATGTTGAATTCTGGAGCCTGTGGACCAATTTGAAGAAAAAGACCAATTTTCTTCCATATAAGATGTGTCTGGAGGCAAAAGACTATCACTTAGACTGTAATTAATCTCTGTTAATGTCTCTGCAGTGACCTCTGGCTGATTTTTCTGAGCTGAAACAGGAGCATGATGAAGTTGACTGATTACCTCCAACTCTAAAGCAGCTTCTCTCATTGTTGGTCTTTGCTTACCATCGATGTTCAGACATCTTTTAGCAAGGTTAGAAACAGCCAATATAGCTTCTTCTCTGCCCTCCTTGGCAACTTGGGCATCCAAAATATCATACAAATTGGAATTTTCCATAGCTGACAGAAAATATGACGCAAGACTTTTTCCATTATGAGATTCAGTCGGAATAACAGCTCTCTTTCCTGTCAAGAGCTCTACAAGAACAACTCCAAAACCATAAACATCACTCTTATCTGTAAATTGATTTGACCGGAAATATTCAGGATCTAGATAACCAAAAGTACCTTGAATACGAGTGGTTAAATGAGTTTGATCAACACCAACAGACCTTGATGTCCCAAAATCTGATAATTTTGCTCTATATTTTGCATCAAGAAGTATGTTGGAAGTTTTTACATCTCTATGAAAGACAGGCTTAGAGGACGCGGAGTGTAAATAAGTGAGTGCACCTGCGACATCTATAGCAATTTGTAAACGCATTTCCCATGTAATAGGGAAATCCTCACTAGGACCATGTATATATTTTGAGAGAACTCCATTCGGAATGAATTCATAAACTAGCAGTGGGACTTCTGTTTCCAAACAACATCCCAACAGGCTGACAATATTTCTGTGATTAATTTCTGATAAAATAACCACTTCATTGATGAATTGACTCAACCCATTGCTGTTTCCAATATTAGATTTCTTTATGGCAACCACATTTCCATCACTCAACATACCTTTATAAACTTTACCTTGACCTCCCTGACCCAGCACTCTGTTCTCATTGAAGCCATCAGTAGCTTTCTCTAGTTCATCAGCAGTGAAAATTCTTGTTTTTTCTATCATACCATCCTTGGACCACATCTTCTGCTGTAATAACAAACCACCATTTTGTTTAAAGAATTTGGCTCTTTGCATTCTCTTTCTTCTTCTTCTAGCTATAATGAAAAGCCAAAACCCACTGAGCAAGAGAAGTATAGATCCCAAACCCAAGCCAAGTCCTGCAAAGTGCAAATAACATAGATATTATGCTCAGGATGAGGTCATCAGCGGATAGCAGAGAATTATACGCCCTAACAGTTATGTGTTTTGGTTGGTAGAGCTAGAAGAGAAGACAGATATTCACATGTGATTAGAGAAATGTTCTTAACTGTTAGAGGTTTACATATTCATTCCAAAATCTTAATCAGTACTGTAACCAGGCTTTTCATTTAAGGCCATGGCTGATTACAAAATAAGAGAACCCTCAGTTTATTGAATTTTATAAATGTTAATCTAACTATAATTTCTACTGCAAGAAACATATAAAAAGAACAATTACCAAGAACTAAGATCAATTTCAAGCTGTTCGAACGACAGCCAGTACCATCCTTCCTGCCATCACCATAAAAACCACTTGGGCAGTAACACTCATAGTTTCCTTTAGTGTTGACACAAATGCTTGAACAAGGATTATTCACCCCTGCACACTCGTCAATTTCTGGGAAAAAAGATGTACTAATAGTCAAATAGCTATTTATGGGGGTGACTCTAACAAGCTTAATTTTTAAGCTGTTAATATATTTAGCATGCCACAAAAAAGGGCGAGAAGTAAGATTCTTACCTATACAACCCGGACTAAGATAAGGATTTCCCTGATACCCATGTAGACATTTGCAGCGATAGCCTATGACATTTAGAGCACGGCCAAGATCAATGCAACTTGTATTCTGTTGGCATGCATAAGTAGTTGAGTTCTTCTGAGCATCCTGGCACCGTTCATTGGGAATAAACCAGTCAAGCACTACAGGCACACTTTTCAGATATCCAGAGTCTTGGCCCTGCAGCCCCTGAAAGTTAAAGGTCGACTTTTCAAGTATGTAGGCATAGCTGCAATTCCCTGATGAAACACTTGTGTTGTAATATATATCCTCTAGGCTAATATTCCAGAACTTTAAGCCCTTTGGAATGGGAGCCTCACAGCAGCCAATGCCCGAGCACATCTTGTTATGTAAGTCCTCTTCTCTAGTACACAAGGCAACACAGCTAGCAACTTCTCGACCAGTAGTTGTTTGTGCCTCAATCAATCCATAATGATGGCAACCAGTGACCACAAAGATGTTGGAGGCAGATGACACAGAATAGGGTTGGCCTGTCAGATCAACATTAGACCAGGTCTCATCTTCACCTGATCCTTCTTCAGCAAAATTGCATGAAGAAGCAACACGGCCATCTGTAACTGTAATCTGGGTCTTGGATAAATCAAGAATATGTCTACCAGAAATTCTAGGTACAGAGAAATTTTTTTCGGTGTCACATACTACAATATACTTATACCCCAAGGAGCATCTCCTCCCAATGCCAAAAGGGTAGGGGATTGTCACGTTCCCACACTTACGTGGGCATCCAGGCAGTGTAGCATTGGCAGCAGAGAGCATGGTGGTTGCTTGTGTTTGCAACAATGAGGCACACACAAGACATGGAAAACCAAGCAAATGCCACATCGTAAAGAAGAATATTCCTAAGGAATTTAATATTCTCAGAAGAAACATTTCTCTCACCAATTTCATGATCTACTGATACTTCCCAATAAGGAAGAAAAATTATATTAAAAAACAAGAAGCTGATGCTATCCTACAAAACATTTCATACAGTATGCAGTGAACGGAAAATGCAACACATAGACGTCAACAGTGGGTGTCAAATGTGTGTGATCTATCTATAATGACTCCCGCCCAAAGGTGACATAGGCAGCAATGTTACGCAATCTATCAAAAGAGACTCCCACCCAAGGTGGATAGGAGAGTCAAAGACTGAAATCCATAAAGCAACACCATGGTGCTAACAAATAGAGAAGAAACATAGGCTTAGTAATTAGACAATGACAGTTTGCTACATTTTGATAGATAAAAAGGGATAGGCTGTTTATTAAGCCACTGTCACATACTCTGTAATCATCTAGAGTCAGAATTTTACGAGTACATTATTTAGCTTAGTGTAAAATGGACTATGGGTAGAGAATGCCCACATGATTATGAAAGTACTAAGTATATAGGTAAAGGGGTAGATGATGAGAATCTTACCAATTAAAGGTCTTCAAATTTGTATTCTTTACCGAGCGATATTGCACATGGTCAATTACAAATTGAACTATTTCTCTCTGAGTTTGCTTTCTAAAAATTGAAAAGTAAAGGAAACAAAGGCTGATTAATATCATTTTCAGAAGACACTATTGCCTTATCCACTCACCATGAATTTAGTGGTCTAAAATAAACCATCAGATAAAGAAAAGACTTTCATAGGAAATTCAAAGAAAAAAACAAATTCTGATATATACTGATCATATACCTTAAGAAATAATTTTTCAGGGCACATTTAAGAATTAAGTTTTGCAAAATTCAAGCTTAATAGGCAAAATAGGACAATCTTTACCAAACAGTAAAAATTCTAGATGTTGTTATCAGACTTCAGTACGTAGTGTACATACCATATGAAATCAATGATACCTTTTGTAGTGTCCAATTTGAGAAGTTGTTCATTACTTCAAGATATGCATGGAAAATTGGAGGCAAAGGAGCATAGCTTAGAGCCTTTGTAATCTGGGTAAATATACACACCAAGTGAACAAGATACATTGCAGCTTCTCTCCTTATTAGCCACAGCCCTTGCTTCCTGCCACACCCAAAAAGGCAAAAACTGCAAAGTAGTTCTGTAGCTTCGGCAAGGAAATATGTTTCAAGCTCTCACCAGCGAGTTCAGCATGTAAAGTATCATTCAAATCAGACTTTTCTACATGATTGTCACAAAGAAGAATGGCCGTCTTCCTTCCCAAAAGCACTATAAGAACTAATTCGTTTAATAAAGTCATGAGTATGACTCTTTGTGCTAGAAAGTAAACAAGGTCTAGACAACCAATTGCTTTAAGTACGTATAATCAAAGCATGTTTGATGAATAGGCATGAAACATCATATCCCAAAATCAAACAATTGTCCTCTACATTTAGCATTGACACCATATTGAAGATTTGATGCCCCTAAAAACAACAAGACCGAGGATGCCAAGTGCAGGTACAATCTTACGACCTTACTCCTGCAGTCCTTCAATTCAACTGATGAATTTCTGAAGCAAGCCCTTTGATGAGTCACTTAAATTACCAGAAGACAAAAGCCTGACAAACAACGAAATAGTATCAGCATCAGCTTTAAATCTTTTGCTAACCATAACGTCACAATAGTATAGTGCATTTGACAAGTCATTATTGAGAATATATCCTCGGATGATCGTATTATAGGTACAACCATCAGGGGGGCAATCATCTTCGTCCATTTTGCTTAACAATTGAGCAGCTTCACTCATGAGCCCTTTCTTGCAGAAGCTTTTTATCATTGTAGTGTATATTTTACAATTCGGTTGCAGGCCCTTTGATACAAGATCAGAGAAGATTTTTGCTGCATCTTCATGTTGTCCGGCCTCACACAAGCTGTTCATTAGGATATTGTAAGTGACAGTAGTAGGTTTAATACCTTTATCCTCCATATCTTCAAGTAATGCCACTGCCTCACCCAGCCGAGCCCTTTTGCACAGGCCATCTAGCAATGAGTTATACGTGATAACATTAGGAGTAACCCCGTGAGCTTGCATATCTGTGAATAACTGGTGTGCAAGTGTAAGTTTATTGGCTTTACACAAGCCATCAATAAGAGTGGAATAGGTTACAACATTCCGTGTTATCCCTTTTTGAAACATATATTCGAACAGAGTAAGAGCCTTATCAATGTTTTTGAATTTGACATATCCATTGATCATAGTATTAAAACTTACTAGATCAAGCTCACAACCATTTTGGGCCATGATATGAAGTAGCTTTTTTGCATCTCTCATCTGACCACGCAAACAAAAACCATCAAGTAAAGCATTGTAAGTAATGATGTCAGGAGCTACACCCTTGTCTGTCATGTGTCTTAAAATAGCTTCCGCTTCCACAACATTACCATCTTTACAAGACATATCAACCAGTATGCTGTAAGTCTTAACATCTGGTGCAATGTTGCTCTTTAACATCTCGGTCAAAACACACTTAGCCTCTTCCCCACATCCAGAATTGTAAAGGCCTCGAATCAAGGTATTATATGTGACAACATCGGGTTGAACACCCTCGATTTTCATAGCGGCTAACAGGTCCATAGCTTGTTGTAATAACCTATCCTTACAAAGACTATCAATAATAGTGCTGTATATGACAAGGTCAGGCTTACAATAACCAGCAGATTTCATTTTGTTAAGCAAATTGAGAGCAGATGTATTGTCACCAATCCTACAAAGACCTTTAACCATAGAACCACAGGTAAAAATGTCGGGTTTGAAACCAAGCTTAACAATCTTATCCAACAAAATAGCAGCTTGAGGGAGCATATCATTAAGTATATAACCATTGATTAAGGTGTTAAAGGTATAATTATTGGGGGGATAACCAAGTTTAAGGGATTTAGCCATGACAGAAAACCCGAAATCAACGCGGCCTAAATGACAGTAGCAATTAGTAAGAATACCAAACGAATGCATGTCGTATCGAATACCCAGTAATTCAAGCTGCCTGGAAAGGGAGATAATGGTGGAATGAGGATGAAGGCGTTTCAATTTGGAAATGGCAGTGAATAATTGATTGAAGACGATAACAGAAGGAAGAGGACGCAAAGAGGTCAATTGATTGAAGAGGGAAAGGGGTAACTTGAGATCGGAAAACCCTAATTTGCAATGATCTCTAACAGAATTAAGAATCAAATGACGATCATCAAAATTAGAAGAGTAAAACCGAGAAAGAAATTGAAATTGAAAAGGAAGAAGAGAAAAAGGTGAGAAATGGAGAAGAACAGGAGAGAGAGGAAGAAGAGTACCAGTGAAAGAACGCGACATTGTTGAAATTGCTGTAAATATAAAAGAGAATGCAAAAGCAGCGATTCCCTTTAACCGTGATGTTCTTGAGTTTCAGTAGCCTGCAATTATAGGAGGAGATAGGACTAAGGAGGTAGATAATGGTGAAGAACAGCAGTGAGTACTTTGTAGGAGTATTATTTTGGTGCTATTGAACTATTCATGGTTTGATTGGACTCAATTTCTCAAGTATGGACTCAAAATTTGGGTTGTCAATTCGGATGATCGGATCAATTCTGATATGGTCGGGTCGAGTTGGGTCAATTTTAAAGTTAAGTCATACAAAATTGTTATATTCACGCGAGTCCAACTTTGAATCAGATATTTTTCAGATCGGATCAGGTCGAGTGTGCTTTTGATACCTCTACTCAAAATCTTTATCTCAAATTTTACTCAGAGTAAGATAAGAGGTTAATATCTCGATTACAATCTAGCGAATCAGACAGAAATTTTCCACACGGCTACAACAGATCGATGGACCCCCTCGCCGATGAAAGCTGTAAATCACAGCGATATGAAAAAGGGTATGAAGAATGTACGATTTGCAACAACGATCGTAGCTTTGCTTACGGAATATTTTTATTTGATTCAATTATTATGTATTCATTAGATTTAAATCTTTTTGTAAATGTCGCATGACTTTATTTATGAATTAATTTTATTTCAAAAAAAAAGATAAGAACATTACCAAATGAACCAACACTTTGTTGGTACTACAAAGTACAAGGATAGTACTTACTAGCACTTCATATGTAAGTATGTAATAATATGGTATTGAGAATATTTTTACTCCGTGTTTGATTTCAAGATTACTTTTGAATGATTAGGTTTCAGTCCCCTCCCAATTGTTGTTGCGATGGATTGAACACGAGTTCTCTTTGCAACAACCAATTGGTTGATATTGAGAATATTGACCTACAAGTAATAATTAAAACTGGGGGCATGTATACAATGTATCACTTGTTCAAATTCCTCACTCACATTTGTTATTTCAATATTTTTTACTCATTGCCCTAGTGACACATTACCAAACAAAAAAAAAAAAGTATTCATAATTTCATATGCTATAGTAATAGTACAACCTATTACAAAGTATTGAAGACTGACGTATTCCAAATTTCAATACATCAAAAAAAATTTGAAGAACAATACAATCAAAGTTGAAATATATGCACCATTGCTCATTTGGTTTTTATCCACGTACTGAAAAAATATGTACAAACTGCAATAAGAATATAACAAAATAATACGCAGTAATAATAAAGGCACAATGCTCTTGAAACACTGATATTTTCACTCGTATATTTCAAAAATGATCAAATGAGTCGCAACAATGTTTTTTCTTGATGGAAACTTGGAAAGCGCTACAGCAACCAGAATCTCAGTTTCACACCACACGGTATATCCATATATGCCTCCGAATTTGATTCTGCATCACCAATTAACAATGAACTTCAACTGTACGAATTTACATGAGACTGAATACCTGCCCACACATACGGCTCCCCAAGATCAAGGACATCATAAAACATAATTTGTTCTCAATACAGCACGAAGGAGTTCATTGGGGAAAACCAGAAGCTTATGAAGTCGACATTTACAGTTGCGCAGTTGCTTCAAGCTACTGGAGACAAGCTCAACTAGCGCCAACTGGCAAGTTAGATATCACGTTTGGACTTCTGATGCCATAGATGGATACTTGTTTGTTAAAACACGAAGCATAGACTGGGTATCAACCAGTTTCTCCCTTAACATTGTGTTATATTCATATAGATCTTTAAGGTTCTTATGGATATCAGACACATCAACATTAGAACTTCCATTAAACTCTGCCACAAACAAATTGTAATTGAGTTAAAACCACGGTGCAATTTATCAAATTTATATTTTCCTTCATTCTTAATCACCAACATGGGTGGATAGAAAAACTAGAAAAATATTGAAATAGCAAGTAAAATAAGAAGCAAAGCGATCATCAGCATTAACTTACCAGGTAAAGTTGGTGGAGGAGGAATATTAACATCTTTCAAGCTTTTTGTAGGTTCTGACAAATGTTTTCCAACCTGGTTAAACATCATGAACTCCATTAATTATGCAGCCAAAATAATGTGAAAAATTGTAAAAGCGCTGAATCTATACATCAAAAGATAGATGCAACACTTGTTAAAAGTTCTTTTACAAAGTACACACATGCAAAACCTCACAATCTGAATCTAGATCAGCTCACATGCAGGACAGAAACACAAGTAAATGCTTATTTTGAAAATTAAGTTATCAAGGCAGCTAAATGGACTGTCTTGTGAGGAGAAAGGAACTAATAATTCCACAAATTAATAGGTGACCAGAACAAAGACTTGGTGCAAGACAGTTGAGAATCGTCCTAAGTCGCAAAAATACCATTGTTCTATTGGTCTAAAGACCTAGCAGTCTTGCGACATTTTGAAAGGAGAATTGTAAAGTGAACGTTTTTCTTTTCAAGCAAAATCCAAAAATGCAGAGCTTTGAACAAACTAATTTAGTGTAGAGACCTGCAGCGTATGTAGACCAAATACAAAGTCCATAAGAGACTTACCATTCCCTTACGCGAACTATCTTTCTTGTCAAAACTAATGGCACGCAGACTAATTTCTTGACGACTCCTTTTGTGTAAGGATTCGCCTTTTCTATGCGAGGCACCCCCAGCACAATCACAACATCCGTTGCCACTAAAGTTATGATTATCTTCAAGTAATGAGCTAGGACCCCATGTATACATTACATACTTCCGCAACTGGATCCAAGGTTAAACAGAGTGACTAATCAGAACTCGATTCAAAACGAAGAAGGCAAACCACCACAATTAGTAGTTTACTATTATGCATGGAATAATAGAACAGTACCTTATCCCAATGATCCTGAGCTTTACGTCGACTTCTGATATTCCTGAAAACTTGATCTTCATTACGTAGTCTTTTGATTCTATATTCACACTACAAGTCATGAAAAAAAGCTCATCAGCAAGCAAAAAGGTGGACTAGAGACTTGTTTTAGTCATATAACTGACCATAACCAAATTGAACAGATAAGTTTTAAAAAAAAAAGTATTTCAAAAGAGTAGCGTGTGCAGGTAGAAGTAAAATTACAAATTTTCCCTTTACTAGGGAGTAGGGACAGGAGCATAACTAGTTTCTTCCCAAAGGAACCTAAAACAAGAAACCAGCGAAGAACCAATTGCCAAATCAGAGGTTCGAGCTGACTTTCCATGTGATACAAAACACGGAAGTATCCAATTTCAGAGGGAAAGAGTTAACTCGGTCATAAACCAAAATCTGCTGGAAGTAGAACAACCTTTGCACTATAATATTATAATAACAATGAAGCTACCCATGAAATATAGGATAGTACAATGACAAAGAACAGAAGACATTGAAGGCAAATTTACAGGCATCACAATAAACAAAATAATCCATGTACATAAACTATATGAGAACAGGCAACAGCCTCAAAAATTGTGTTGTGATTTTCAATGCAGTGTCATTTTGGTGATACATTGGCAAGTAATAGATAACATTAGAATAAAATCATTACTTACTTGCACCAAAAGGTAGAAGAAAATCCCAATACTTATGCAGTAAAGACCACCGAGGTCTGCAAGGAAGCTCACTGCAGTACCAAATGAAACAAGATATGAGATTGTGGGGGAGAGGGGGATCATTGGATTAAGCTATTAAAACAAAATTAAAGATCTTAATGAGTCAAAAAACTGAATCACTGTCATATAAAAATGATAGCACCATCCAAGTCTTAACTCCAGTCCAAATAACAGCCGTTGACCACAGCAACATCACTAACATGCAACAGATACCAAGTTCAGCTTAGAAAGAAGACCTTTAATACCATACATACAGTCATTAATATTGCTGACGTAAAAAAAACAAACCCAGAGCTTCTTCCCCTGATTTGGTTGAGAGTTGTATTAATGTCATTTGAGAGGCACATCTAAATTGGCCACATTAATATCACATGGCTTCATGTTACCAGCCAAGCAAAAAGTTCAGGGGAAACATTTTAAGGAAGGAGAATGCTACAATAGAAGCTAGCTTCTTTTTTTTTTTTTTTTTGGGGGGGGGAGAGAGACATTTGCAGAGAACTCGAGATACTGTATTTTAATTAACAGCCCACACAATTTCATTATTGAAAAGAAACTAGATTTTATGGGGGACTCTCATCAGTCATCACTGAATCCTCATACTTCCTTAATTTTTCATAACAAAGAACTAGTCACCATACTAACTGACAACTGCTTCTCACCTAGTTTGAAAGTCTTTATCAATTAAGGATCTTATGGAACAAAACTTCTGTTATTGCAGAGGTGAGGCTGCATACGTTTGACCTCCATTACACCTCCATAGATTAGACACTAGTGAGAGACACTGGAATACTGGTACACTATGGGTTGTTGGTTGATAATCAAATTTTAAAATTCCTCTACTTCTAGATTACCTTAATGGTTACGCAAACAAGTTAAAGACCTATTAGTTTTAAAATTTGGCATTAGAGAATGCATGGAATTTAAGGAGCAATAATTAAACAAAAACTCAGTCGTCAAATTCATCCCCATTTGTCCACTATACATGAGAGACAGCAGATCCCCCTTGGAAAACATTCTCAGCCAGTAAATCAAACCACGTCATTGCAGATAACAAAGCATGTTCATGCTCAATATTCAATGGCTATTGGCTAAGAACTAATGAGCATTTGTGAACAAAGCAACATGTTCTGGATATAGTGAAAATAGAGATTCGTAAACAAGAGAGGCCATTAACATTAAAACCAAAAGTGCTTACCTGGTCCCAATATATTCTGATTATCAATCTCAACTATGTAGTCAGAGAGAAAATTGATGTGCAATGTGGTGTTCATCAATCCATTAGTTGGATTCTGAAGGGACGCCTGAAGAGCATTTGCATCTCTTATAAAGGAACCCGGAACTAACTCATGGAACAGAGGTTGGACAAGCTTTAGATTATGTAGATTCTGATACACTCTGGGAAATAAATTGAACTTTAATATATTTGTACCCATGCCTCGGAATGCTAAAGGCATATCATTCAAATCAGTTCCATTTCTCACCGTACCACTGACTAAACTCATATGTTTCTTCTGGGCAGGGTTTCTTGCTGTAAGATTGAATTCAAATGCAACTGCACTGGCAGGTTGACCAGGCAAATCAATAAATTGCCACGAGATGTACACATTGTCCCGTCCAAGAGGGCAATTGTTGCATCTCAAACTTACTGTTGGTCCACGGGAAGTGTTAAGGCAAGAATAGTTGGCAAAGGTTGACAGAGGTGCTACGCGATAGTCAATGGATCCTGGATTGCCCAAAAAAATAGTACCAAGACTGCGCAATTGAGAGCAGCTCATACTAGAAATGGTTGTAATATTGAACTCCATATCATTCATGAAAGCAACTAAATCAGGACCATTTGTTGCCCTCAGATTGTGAACCTCCACGCTTCTATTGGATATGATCTGATACAGAAGCCTGAGGAAGAGTGAGGAAAGCATGTCAAGAAAGCTTCCTTGCAGCAGCATACCCATATATAACAAGAAATGGACAGAAAATTTGTACACAATCAAATTTTGATAGGACATATGCATCAGAAAAACAACAAATTTTGTGCACAATCTATACTCACGCCGAAAACAGACCAATGAAAAGTATCCAGCTGGCAATGGAGAATGCTCCCCCAAGTTCAGTTTTTCGCTTCTTAACTACCTTCTGATCCTCCTGCACATAGATATGTGATATTCAGTTCAACAAGAGTTCTGATGAGTCAATGCGTCATACATAAGATGTTAATAATCGGAAATAATGACAAAGAACAGGGGGAATGATAATAAAGCAGTTATGGACATCTTGGCTCCATAACTGCGATGTCCATAACTGCAGGAGTTGAGACATCCAGTCAACAAAGACGCAATTCTGTGAGACCATAATACATATAACTGATATAAGCAAAACTAATATCCTTCTACGAGAATAACAAGATAATGTTTTAAATGTCATAGGTCGGATGATACATGGTAACCCAAGCTAGATTTAGTCTGTTCTCATGGTTAGTAAATAATTGACTGAATAAATTGCTTCGTGAATAGTTATATAGCTTTTTAGGGAGAAAAATATAGTTCGTGTTGGTTATAGTACCTCCAAACTTCAGTACACAGCATTCCGATTCTCTTGACGCCTAAAGATCCTTTTTTTTTCCTTTCTGTTCTGCAACTTTATTCTTGTCCTATTCTGCTTCTACAACAGGCCAAAATGTACAAAGATCTATAACCTCCCGCAACTACAATATCTGATTGTGAGACTAATTTGTTTTATTCAGCTTTATGTATCAAAGGTTTGGTAGATAATTAGGTGATGGCAAAGAGAGACACCAAAATTCCGATCTAAAGGAAGTTAACTAAGCTCCACTAATCTAAACTGACAGAACCTCACGATCTTCTAAAATCTGATAAACAATCTGATCCTTCTAATTTAGATCTAACAATGGCTTTCTATAAGAGACATTGGGTTCTCATAAGAAGTTTCAAGCCCACACAACAACAGAATGCAGTGCCATTCTGTTGCAGCATATAAGAAAGACAACTGAAACAAATTTCATCAATAGCTAATTTCATGACCCTCTTCCAGAAAAGATGCTCCCAAGGCAATAAGGGCTTCTAAATGCTAAACCATAAGTGCACTAGAAACCATGGCCTGCTTGATTTAATAATAAGCATGTTATGCCAAAAGAATCGATATAATGAACAAGAACTTAGTGTTTAACCATCAGACATGATATCCATAAATAGCGTTCTGCCAATATGTAAATTATGCCATTGGACTATTGGAGGTAACAAATTCTCAAGCACATGAGCAACAGAATAACATCCTCAGCTATAATTTCAAGTATCAAACAAGATGGAGGTCATTATCACCTAGCAGCACTTTGCTTATCATAAAACTTTATGCCTAAACTATTAAACAATTGAGTCACATCATATAAACACCACACACACATGCTCTCGCGCCCCACATAAACACAGGTACAAGCAGTAGTACTACAAGACAACAACACATACATATAAACACATCAAATTCCATTACTAGACACAATCAAATTCCAATCAAGCTAACTAAACTATTACTTATTTAATATTCATCCCAATAAACCATCAAACACAATCATTTGAAACTTAAAAGCAACAAAAACAAACCAATAAAAAAAGTTAAAAACCCCAATTTACCAGCCAATGCCTTGTAGCAAAGCAAACATCAAGACGACTGATCCACCATCTAAGCTGGAACCAAATACTTCTTCCATCCCCCAATTTGCGAAACCTTAAAAACACACAGAAAAACAACCAAGAAACCAACAAAACTGCTGTGGCTTCTAAGAACACAGCTTGAGATTGAGTAAACTTCTTAATTTGATCAAAAGAAAAGATTGTTTCTGGGAATGAAATTGAGTAATCAACCCCAGAATTAACAATAAATTTTGAAGGATTTATAGTAAATAACCCGCAACTTTTTGTGGTAGCATTGAAGAGATACCCAGGTGAACAAGCACAAAGGGTTTTGTTATATAACACTGAATTAGCAGGACATGGAGCTTTGAAACCTGACATCTCAAATTGAATCAAGAAAAAACCAGAAAATTATAATAAACAAAAATGGAATTTGGGGGAAATTGGGAATCTTAGATATTATCTAAAATCCCAATATTCCCAGATTTTTTTCTGGATCAGAGAAGCTGAAAATTGATCTGGGTAAGCATAATTTTGACTTTTAAACAAGGAATTATTTTTTTTTAACTACTAATTGAATAAATTTGTGAACTGGGTTTAGCTGCTAAGGGGTAGAATATCAGCCAACGAATCTGAATTAATGTTTGAAGATATAGAGAAAAATAAAATGATAAAGTAGAATTTCTTGGAATGTGAAAGCGTACAGAAATAATTGGCGTGAGAAATGAATGATTGAGGAAGATGAGAGAGAAAGAGAAGAGAGTGGTCAAATTGTTGAAGAAGAAGAAGAAGTATGGCAGAGAAGCAAAGAATGTTGTTGCTACAGAATAGAGACAGTAGGAGAGAGAAATAAAAATGGGAAGAGAGAAATAAAGGTTTTGAATCTATGTCGTGTTTTCTAGAGTTGCTCAGAAAACATGTAATTAGTACAGGATTTATTAGTCTAATTACAATTACTGATATAATGATTTTATTCTGTGTACTTCGTATATACGTAGTATAATGTATTCGATCTTTTCAAAGGAAAATGTCACAGAGTAAAGGTTGCCTTAAGAGTTAAGGGTACATATTCATGTGGATGAAATCATACATCAATATTCAATACATTGTACCAAATACGAGTATTTGGTACGAGTATTTTTTTGGGTTGGAAATGGATTTAAATAAACCATTATTGTTATTGAGTGCATTGGTACGAAGGTTTAGATGACAATTACTACTTACCCGAGATAATAGTGATCATCTTTTTCTTTTTTTTTCTTTTTTTTTGGATACGGGCTTGTTTCATTTGCATTTACATTTCTAAAAGAAAATATAATCATGTACGGAGTAGCTACATGTTTGAATCGTCTTTATATGTTGTTGCTAAATATTAATTACTCCTCGTAACTTATATTTTGCGGATAATTAAAGAATTTTTGACAATATTCTACATTAGTGAACTTACGTACATGGTCAAACCAAGGCATTTAATTTGAAATAGAAGGAGTATCTAGCATTGATAATCGATAATCAATAAAGTAGAGGAAGGTAAACAAGTGAAAGGACAGTTAACACAGTAATAAATCCAATAAAAATTGTAGGGAGAAAACAAAATTATATTCTACAAGCACTTATTATTTTTGGCACTTTTTTTTGGACAAGGTCGGGTTTTTTTTTAACTACGAATGTGATCTTACACTGCCCAAACCCGCATAAAACTCAAGCCATATTGAATCGAGCTAGTGGGCTTAGTATTCATGTTCACCTCTAGTATTCAAGCAATCAATGCCTCATTCTTCAACTTACATTAACTTTAAATAAAATCATTTAAATTAACGGAACTCTTCTAACCAAACCAACCTCAAATGAGAATTATGCCTACAATTATCATGTGCATCATTTATAACCAATGATATTTCGAAATTAAATCAATTAAGAAATCATTATTATATAGATAACTCATGCATAACAAGAATATAGAGTTACATACTAAGCCTTATTCTATTCAACTTATTTTTATTAACCCGAATTTATTTTTTACAAAAACTGGAATAATTTTTGTAAGGTGAACTAAAAGAGTTACTGATTTTTATTGAAATGAAATTATTTTTATTGAATATTGTATTTATAACGTGAGAGAATAGTGTCTAGCATTAATTTAATAAAATAGGAAAACGAGTAAGGAAATTGGATTATTAGTTGACAACTACCTCAACCAACAAGTCTAAGTTCAATCAATCTGTAATGATATTGACCGAATAACCCTTATTACACTAATGAAATAACCCACGACCTTCATGAAATTTGATTGAGATTGGAGAAGATGGAACCGTAAAAAGGAGAAAATCTAAAAATTGGGGATTAATCGAAGAAGATGAATTGAAAAATAGCTGAAAAGAGGAAAGTGAAAGAGGAGAGATAACGTGATTTTGATTTTTTTTTTTTTTTTTAAATTATGGTTGGCCACACCGTGTGGCCAGCCACATATAAAAGTTTGTGTATATAATAACTATATACGCAGTATAAATTTGTGAAGGTTAATGTGACCAATTACATATACTAATTTATAAATTTCAATTCTAATCAAACTCGTGTAAACCTTTATTAAAGATAAAATTAGGAAGGAAAGAAGATACTAAAAATAAGAAATAATTACAAGTTCAATTCTATAATAATTCTATCAAACTCATAATTTTTCTTTGTTTATTTATTTTTTATTTTTATTTTTATTTTTTGAGAAAAAAGAGGCTCAATTTTAATCAAACTTTTACGGAGTAAAAAGAATCCTTCAACGGGTTTTCACCATTATATCCCATCAAACTCTTAATCATAAAGTCGTCTCATTAGTCATTACCCTCTTCCTCTGTTTTAGACTCTTCCCTTAACCCCCCAAACCCCTTCTTCTCACCCATCTTCGCCTTTCTCTCTCCTCCTCACTCCCATTAAATCAATAACTTCAATTCTTCAAATTTCACACCAAATTTCCCCAACAAATTCAAATTCAACAAAAAAAATCCCCAGAAAAAACCTAATTTCAAAATCCCCAGAAAAAACCCCCAAAACAACAAAAACCCCAAATCAATCAAATAATAATGGAACCTTTATCAATTCAACCGACCCAATCATCAATTCTACTATTTCTACCAATTTTTCTTACAATTTATTTAACTGGGTATTTCATAATCTTCAAAAATTGGCCCCCTAAGTTCCGCCCAGAAGGTGCTAGCTGCTTCATCTCCCTCTTCCATGGCACCCCAGCTGCAATCCTCGCTATTTTCTCTCTACTCAACAACAACTCCTCTCACCAATCTTTCTTTTCCCAAAATACCCTTCTCCAAAACACGATCCTTGACTACAGTATTTCTTATTTCATCATGGATTTGACCCATTACCTAATTTTCTACCCTTCTGATCTTTTATTTATTGGGCATCATTTAGCAACGTTGTTCGTGTTCATAACTTGCCGTTATCTTGTTTCTCATGGTGCATTCTCCATCTTGGTGCTGCTAATTTTGGCTGAAATCACAAGTTTATTGCAAAATCTTTGGACTTTGGCAAATGCAAAAAGGGTAGAATCGGAACTTGCTGAAAAAATCTACTCTATTTTGTCACTCCCTTTTTATGTAATTTATACTATTGCTAGGGTTATTTTAGGGCCATTATTTGTGTATAAAATGGGGTTTTCTTATTTTAAAGGAGATGGGAATGGAATTATTCCAACTTGGGTTATAATTTCTTGGATTTGTGTTATTGTAACAGCAATAACAGTCAGTATTTTGTGGATATGGAATTTATGGGTGGAGTTGTTTAGACAATGGAGGGAGAAGAAAGTTCAATAAGGGTATAATTGTAATTTTACTTTTTTTTTTTTTTTTTTGTGCAAATATAAATATTAATGTAAGGCACTTTGGATTTTATATATAAATATAATTTGAAAAAAAAAAATCAGGTGCTTTCATTTTGTTTTGGCTTTATTTGTATGGTTTTCAATTTGTTAATTGGTGTTTTGTGTTGTAAGTTGTGATTAATTATTTAATTTATTGTCTTTGTCACTTTTTGACTAAATCAACTTATAATTGAAGTACATTAATTAATCAAGTTTATGATGTTATCAAGTTATAGTGATGTTGTGAATGATAAAATAACTATATCGTGCTTGGTTTTTGACAATCTCAAGCTGAGTCGAGTAGCTTGCGAGTTGATTAGATTCACTAGTCATACCAATAAAAGGATAAAATTTCCTTAAAATCATACCAAGTTACTCACTCCCATTAATCCATCATATAATTATATAGTCACTTGGATTAGTTGCATTACTTGTACGTAGTATATGTTAAGGTGAAATGTATCTAATTTTTCATTTTTGTCTTTAAGCCGGAGTGTCTTTAATTTATAAAGTAATCCTTATTATATTTTAGTAAATTTGTTTATGTTATCCCATCCCATGTCTAAATGAGAGATAATCCTAGTATTTATCGACTTAAAATAGTCGTTCAAGTTACTAACTAGACAAAAAACTAAATGACAAAAAATTAATTGGTTACCGATTGAATCATTGAATAACATTAATATATTTCCAACTTATAGATTCATAATACTCGTATAGGAAAATATATAAGTTGGAAATATAGGAAAATATAAGTTGGAAATCAATAGCATCCGTTACGATTATAAATTTATGGTAATTTGATATGTCTAGAATTAGAAAAGTTTAAATATGGTAGAGAGATAAATACTCCGTATTATTTAGGTTATCTTTTGTGGGCTACAAATATTAACAAAAAAATATCAATACAGCTTAAGCGACTAATATCGACTTTAGCTTTAAAAAACATTGCTATACTAGTATCTATCAATCTATCATAGACTCATAGTAACATTAAACAGAGGAATTACTATGTTATTATGTTGGCCTATGATGTTAATTCAAAATTCCAATTGCCTTCTTAACCATGAATTTTTCTAAGCCAGTTGTAAATTGCTATTAGCACAAAGAAAATGAGATCACGCAATTAATGCCATACATAAGCTTGTTGTATAAAAAAATAAAAAAATCATAGGCATATTCTTTTTTATGAGAACATAGTCTCGATTTTTCTAGTAGTACCATTATTTTTTCAATATTGAACCCACTATATTAAATTTCTCTTTATTGAAATATACTTTACTAGGTAGGAAAATAAACTTGCCTTTATTCTATACAATTTTTAGGTGATTTGCCGAAAAAGTTGGTATGATGTTTCATTATTTTTTTGTGAGGCGTGAGTTATGAGCTTATGACTTCACGAAAGTGGATAGGATTTAACTTCCATCTTTCTAGTGTTAACAGCTGAAAAATTTGTCGATTGCAACCATTTAAAGTTTAAATTTTGTAAATTACAATTATTTAAAAAAAAAAATTGAAAATTGCAGCCTAAAAATACTATTAAATTGTTAATTGCAATTTAATTCAATTTTTTCATCAATTTGTGTTCTATAAAATGTTTTGTCAAGGTTTAAGGGGTCATTATAGTTCTTAAGAGTCCAAATTAAGCTCGGAATTGACAAAAAATTAACGTAAGAGCCTTGTTTTCACGGCAAAAAATAGTTACACGAAAATCTATATATTATTTATACGCAAAACGAGGCACTTATGTAATTTTTTGCCAATTCCGAGTTAATTTAGACCCTTAAGATCTAAAATGACCCCTAAAACCTTAACGAAACATTTTTCAGCACGCAAACCAATGAAATAATTGAACTGAAAAGCAATTTACAATTTATTAGAGGGCGTTTGGTTCGCAAACTGGTAAGGGGTTGGAATCAAGAATGAAACCATAGTGGTATGAGTTTGGAACTTGATTCTTAATACCATATGTTTGGTATGCTTATGGAATGCAATATTTTTCTTTTATTTGATACTTAAAAGTATAGGAATGAGCCAAACCCACCTCCCCCTAAGGTATCTAAACCTCATACCTTGAGGGTTTGAGGTATGGGTTTGAAACTCTTAAAATCATAAAACAAACATAAGGTATGAGTTTAAACCATTTTAAACCCATACCTTATACCATAATTATGTGAACCAAACACCCCTTTAGTGCTTTTAAAGTGCAATTTGCATTTTTTTTAAATAGCCGCAATTTGTAGGGAAAAAGTCTAAAAGCTCAAAGTTATCCTTGTTATTTCATAATACTCGTATTAGTATTATGGAATCTCATATAGGTTCAAGTGGTTAGTTTTATATGAAATTTTTTATAAAAATGAATCCAATTTATTTATGTGGATTATAATAAGAAAAATGTATTTCTGTGAGATCGTGTTTGACTTAATTATTTCGATTTGTAGATTTATAAAGTCAATTTTTTTTAAAATATTTTTTAATAATGCATATTTGACTATATAAATTCTTAAATGTTGCAATACAAACTATCTAAAGATCAAAACATAATTATCATTTGAAATAGTGCTTAGAAAGAGAAGAAACAAAGTTGCACCTGTTTGTTATATGGCTTATACTCCGTATCTTATTTGAACTTATTTTAGGGAAAAAAACTGCAGGTAAAATAAGGGAAAATTTGTAAATTACAGTCATTTAAAACTTGTATTTTGCAAACTGCAGCTATTAAAAAAAAAATTGTAAACTGCAGCCCAAAAATTGTTATAAATTGTAGCTTAATTTAATTTTTCATCAATTTGCATATTAAAAAATGTCCGTTTAAAATTTTAGCGGTCATTTTAAATCATAAGGATCTGAAGTGAGTGTGTAAATAATGCTAAAATCAAAATGTACAACAATATATAAACAAAACTAGCCTCGGTAGTTATTTAGAAAATTATGTCCTACAATAATAGGTTATAGGATGTTTCCCTATTCCAAAAAAAAGGTTATAGGATGCTTACACGTAGTCAAGGTCTCAAGGAGATGGGAAACTTCCTTGGCCAAAATCAAGGCTGCAGAATTTGGTCTCAATTGCATTGGCAAGTCACTAAGCAACAAGATTATCATTAGGAAGATTTGCTGTAGTTTATTAACATACTTAGAAGCAACAATTACCGTCTGTCCTATCTTGGTTTTTTGGAGAAAGAAAATTATTGATTCTTCCATTACTTTGTAAGTTAAGTGCATATCTTATTGGCCGAAATCTCCGAAATTTTTCAATAAGCGTGGATATTAACCTTTAATTTTGAATTTTTTTTTATTTTTTTCACCCGAAAATAATAGTTGCCGAAATGTTTATTATGGTCCCAAATACCTTCTGGGAGTCCAATCGGCTAGGTGGAACCATCCAATTTGCCTTAAAACGACCAATTTACCAGTTTACAACTTGCACCGATTTCATTAACTCAAACCTACCACGAACATTTATGACAACATATAATGATCATATATGGTTGGAAAAATGGAAAAGAAAAATCCAACCTTTGCACTTTTTCCTTACAAAAATCCAACCTTTAGTTTATTCCTCAAAAATCCAACCTTTATACCCCTCCTTCCCCAACAGGTCCATTACCTTTTAAAACAGGTAAAATACCTACTTTTCTTAATCTAGCCGGTTTCCCTCCATTTAATACCGTTGCAGGGTAGTTAATACTCCCATTAATTCCCAAGTATCCTCCCTCTTTAAAAGCTTTGCCCTCCTCTCTGTTTTCTTCTTCTACTGCAATTCCATTTTAGGCTAATTGAAATCGTTAAATTTTTTTCCAAAAAAATGGCAAGTCATCTTTCAGTTGGCTCTGGTTCTTCAAGGTCGAAGGGAAATTCTTCTTCCCCTGCAAATCTGGTATGCTACCACAATGAGTTAGCGCCATTGAGGACTGTTCGCTACGATGGTCCTACGAAGGGTAAACGGTTCTATGGCTGTTCGTACTGGCCTGTAAGTGTGTGAATTGTCTTTTATTTTTTAGGTTAATTTTTTTTTGTGCGTTTTTGTACGAAAGGGGTTTTAATTGAATTAATTTGTAGGAACAGCGGACATGTGGGTTCTTCAAATGGGCTGATGAGGTTGATGATGTACGTGAATTGCAAAACATTGTTGTTGAGAAGGAGGAAACAATTTCCGAGCTTGAGCATCAGGTGGAAATGTTGAAGCGAGATATGGATCTTATGAGGGATAAAGTGAAGAAATTGAAAGCAAAAAAGGAGAAGTTGGTAGAGGAGGTTGAAGAGATGGGCATTGCTACTACTGAGACAATGTTCGAGCTGAAGGAGAATAACACTGACAAGAGGCTCATGATTACTCTGGTTTTTTCTTGGGCTTTTTTCACTCTAGTGCTTATGTTTAAGTAAGTGAAGGGGTTGTGTGGGGGGGGGGGACTTTTAGGGATGTTTAAGGTGTAGGTGTTAGTGCTGACTTTTGGGGATGTATATGCAACAAGCAGTAGTACTAGGTTAATGGTTCTGTTTAGATGTCTGCAGTAGTTGTAGCAGACAATACTTGGCAAAAAAAAAGTTTCCTTGTTTAGTATGGTCAATGTGGACCTATAAGGTGTTAATAATTGTAAATTTTGGGCAACTGATTTTAATGGAATGAACTCATGTTGTTGCTTTATTTGATGTTTTTTTTGTTTTTTTTTTTTGTATGCAAAATTTGAAAGAAAAGAAAGGCATAATGAACAGCAACTGATAATAACAACAACTGATAATAACAACAACTGATAATACATTAATGTTGCAAAACACTTACATAAAGTAATCCAAATTCATACATGTGGACATTGAAATCAAAAACAAATTGTCTCCCAAAACAGACTTTAACTACTACTATTACAACTTTAAATCTGTTGAACTAGAGGAAGCTATGAAGTTGAGCCTTGGCTGAAGTTGTATGTAAAGGTTGTGGTTGTTAAGCTGGCATCCTGTGCTTGTGATTTTCCATGAACCTGTAACAAAAGCATCATGCCCAATGTTAATAAAATAGTCCTTAACACAGAACCTAAAAAAAATTAAAGATACAGATAGGAAGCTTACATAAGAGCTTCCATCTTGTATAACAAAGTTCCCATAGCCCTTAGGAATACTTTGTCCCTTTCCTCTTCCACCTATTGAACCCCTTCCACCTCTACCACCCCTTCCCCTTGTACTGTGGACTTCCACACTGGAAGGAGGATCACTTTCCTTGCCAGCATCTTTTCTTGGCCTC